GGGCTGGTGGGGGTGCCGGGGTGTGGGGAGCTCAGCTGCCATCTCATGTGCTCCCACCGCAGGCTCTTCGCTGAGAAGATCAACAAGAACGAGCGGAAGGGCAAGGCCGAGATCACGCTGCTCACCCAGGGCCAGGAGACCCCCGAGTTCTGGGAGGTGCTGGGGGGCCAGCCCGAGGAGATCCGACCCTGTGTCCCCGATGACTTCCAGCCCCACAAACCCAAACTGTACAAGGTGGGGAGCTGCATCCACAGGGCCACCACCTGCTGAGGTCCTGCAGCCCCCACTCACCTCTGTCCCCCTCCCCTCTGCAGGTCGGCCTCGGTCTGGGCTACCTGGAGCTTCCCCAGGTCAACTACAAGCTCTCTGTGGAGCACAAGAAGAGGCTGAAGGCTGATCTGATGCCGGAGATGCGCCTGGTAGGATGGGGTGGGGAGGTTCTCCCAGTCTGACCAGTGAGACTGGTTTCATGCCCCTTTTGCCTCCAGCTGTGCCCTGGGAGAGGGAGGTTCAGGCAGCAGAGCCTGGCTGGGGGATGCTCTGCCCTGTCGGGAGCAGGCAGGGTGTTTTCCAGCTGGGAAGGCCTGCAGGTGCCTGACCCCTCTTCCTGTGGTGCCCCCAGCTGCAGAGCCTGCTGGACACCAAGAGCGTGTACATCCTGGACTGCTGGTCCGACGTCTTCATCTGGATCGGGAGGAAGTCGTCGCGGCTGGTGCGGGCGGCGGCGCTGAAGCTGAGCCAGGAGCTGTGCACCATGCTGCACCGGCCCAAGCACGCCATGGTCACCAGGAACCTGGAGGGCACCGAGTGCCAGGTGGGCATGGACCCCTCAGATGGGTGCTGGGTGCCTGGGAGGGGACTGAGGCTGAGGGTCTGTTACCTGCTCCCCAATTTACACCTTGAACGACTGGACGTGGCACCTGGTGTTCTGGTCTGGTTGATGAGGTGTGGTTCGGTCACAGGTTGGACTCGATGATCTTGGAGGTCTTTTCCAGCCTTAATGATTCTGTGGTGTAGGTGTTCAAGTCCAAGTTCAAGAACTGGGATGACGTCCTGCGCGTGGATTACACCCGGAACGCCGAGACGGTGCTGCAGGACGGTGGCCTGGCTGGCAAGGTCCGCAAGGACGCCGAGAAGAAGGACCAGATGAAGGCCGACCTCACCGCGCTCTTCCTGCCCCGCCAGCCCCCCATGCCCCTCACTGAGGTAGGGCTGGGGACCCCCATGAGTCCCCCATGGCGTGGGGCCGGGTGCTGATGGAGCAGCGGGGGCTGACACAGCTCGTGGGGCCACAGGCGGAGCAGCTGATGGAGGAGTGGAACGAGGACCTGGATGGCATGGAGGGCTTCGTGCTGGAGGGCAAGAAATTCACTCGGCTGCCCGAGGAGGAGTTTGGGCACTTCCACACCCACGACTGCTACGTCTTCCTGTGCAGGTGACACCTGGCTTGTCCCCCTCTCAGGGGCTGCTGGACCACCTTGTCCCCAATCTCCCTGCCCAGTCCTCCCGACTGTCCCATCCCTCACATCACTCCCTGTTCCTGCCCTCAGGTACTGGGTGCCAGTGGAGTATGAGGAGGATGAGGAGAAAAAGAAGAAGGGTGAAGGCAAAGGGGAAGAGGAGGGTGAGGAAGAAGAGGAGGAGAAGCAGCCTGAGGAAGACTCCCAGTGCATCGTCTACTTCTGGCAGGGCCGGGAGGCCTCCAACATGGGCTGGCTCACCTTCACCTTCAGCCTCCAGAAGAAGTTTGAGAGTCACTTCCGCGGCAAGCTGGAGGTGACACAGTCTGGGGGTGACACGGGGGTGCCCCAGCTTTGCCTCTCCCCCATCCCCTCCTGCCCTTCAGGCTGAGGCAGGGGACAGCCGCAGAGATGGGAGCTGGCAGGGGGGTGCAGCTGGGGCTTGGAGCTGTGTTTGGAAGTCCCTGTGCCCCTTCTGACAGCCACCCTGTGCAGGTGGTGCGCATGACCCAGCAGCAGGAGAACCCCAAGTTCCTCTCGCACTTCAAGAGGAGGTTTGTGATCCACCGGGGCAAGCGGAAGGACCGGGTCAGCGCTCCCCAGCCCAGCCTGTACCACATCCGCACCAACGGCGGGGCCCTCTGCACCAGGTCAGTGCCCCGGGGCTGCTCCGTGCCAGGCAGCACCCACGGGTGCCACGTACGGGTGGGATACCTGTGGTGGGCACAGCTGCTGGGTCTCCCTCTGATTTGTGCCTCGGGGGCTCCGTCTCCAGGTGCATCCAGATCAACACGGACGCTGCTCTGCTCAACTCCGAGTTCTGCTTCATCCTCAAGGTACTGCTGGTGGCTGAGCATCCTCAGGGCTGCCTGGGTGCCCTCCTGCCCCTCTGGGCAGCCCTGACTCCACTGTCCCCCAGGTGCCTTTTGAGAGCACGGACAACCAGGGCATTGTCTACACCTGGGTGGGCCGGGCAGCTGACCCTGACGAGGCCAAGCTGGCTGAGGACATCATGAACCACATGTTTGATGACTCCTACAGCAAACAGGTGAGCAGGGCTCAGTGCCACCTTACCTGGCTGACAGTGACCACCCAGGCCACACTCAGCCCTGTTCCTGCCCTTTCAGGTCATCAATGAGGGAGAAGAACCCGAAAACTTCTTCTGGGTGGGCATCGGGGGCCAGAAGCCCTACGATGAAGATGCTGACTACATGAAGCACTCACGGCTCTTCAGGTGGGCACTGGTCTGGGGGGGGATGCTCCAGTTTGGGCTGCTTCCCTGGGAACCCAGCCAGAACAGCTGCTCTGTCCTAACAAACTCGTGCCTGCTGCTGTCCCTGCCCATCTCCCTGCAGGTGCTCCAATGAGAAAGGTTATTTCTCCGTGTCAGAGAAGTGCTCAGATTTCTGCCAGGATGACCTGGCTGATGACGACATCATGCTGCTGGACAACGGGCGGGAGGTGAGCTGGGGGCATGAGGCTCTCCTGGGCCCAGATCTTCCAGTGGCTCTGTGGGCTAAGCCCAGCTGCTGATCCTTTCTGCAGGTCTACATGTGGGTGGGCACCCAGACCAGCCAGGTGGAGATCAAGCTGAGCCTCAAGGCGTGCCAGGTAAGACTTCCCTCCATGCTGGGACTGTGGGTGGGAGGATTTGGGCACTTCCATCTCCCCTTGGGGCCCTGGTCTGGCTGCTGCAGAGCTCTGGGCTGGGGAATACCAACCCTGGAGGTGGGTGAGGACCAGGACCCCCACGGCAACGCTCTGCCCCAGGTCTACATCCAGCACATGCGCTCCAAGGACCCCGCACATCCCCGCAAGCTCCGGCTGGTGCGGAAAGGCAACGAGCCCTGGCCCTTCACCCGCTGCTTCCACGCCTGGAGCGTGTTCCGCAAGCCGCCCACCTAAGGGCAGGGGGCACCCGGAGCTCCGGCCACGGTGCCCCCGGCACGGCCGGACCCCGGCACCCCGCGCTGCCGCCGCCGCCAGGCTCAGCCTGGAGCCGCCTCCTCCCGAGCTGGGGCCAGTGGGGATCACTGGGGCTGTCCCTCTGTCCCCTCTTCTCCCAGCACAGGGCCCAGCTCAGCCCCCTTCCCTTCCAGGGGGGCACAGGGGTGCTGTGGGCCCTGTCACACCCTGCTTGGGGATGCTGCTGCCCCGAACCAGTGCCGAGCTCCCCCCGTGACTGGGGGACAGGAGTGACTCCCAGTTTGGGTGGGAGGATGCTTTGCTAAGGAGAGCTGAGGGGAGTGAGGAGCTCCAGGGGAGCTCTCAGCCCCAGAGTCGAGCCTTACAGCTGGTCCCTGCTGTCCTGGGGGAGGGACCCCCAGCGGGGATCAGCCCCTCAGAATCATAAATCATATCAATAAAGGCTGCACTTCTCACCTCAACCCTGTCCCAGGCTCTGACTCACTCCCAGGTGGGGTCACCCCCAACCCTGATTGTGCCTCTCTGCAGCTCAGCACTCACCTGGCTCCGAGGCTCAGCAAACACCTGCAGCCCAGGCAGCTGATATTAAATGCTTTATTTTCAATATTAAAAACCAGTATTTTTAATAACTAAACAATGCTAAATTCATCTTACCAAAAAAAAAAAAAAAAAAAAAAAAAAAAGAGGGGGTTGGGGGGGGGGGGGGGTTCTACCAGGGACGCTACAGCCCCGGCCTCGGCCGGCAGCAACAGAGCCCAAACCCCCCCAGCCACACACGTACCGCAAGAGAGCCCGGGGGGGCCACAGGTCCCCAAAAGGAGAGGGGCAGGGCCCAGCTGAGCCCCGTGGGAACAGCCACCATGGGCCAGGGGACAGACCACAGCCCCCCAGGAGGACGAGGCCAGGCTTGGAGCCCAGGGAGGGTTTGGCACAGTGAGACCCCCAGGGTGGGGCAGCCCAGCCTGGGGCAGGAGGGGTCTGGGGCAGCCCCATCTGCCCCCCTCCAGCACCAACATGGACCAGGAGCAGGAGCCCGTGTGTAATTCCACAGCGTGACCCCATCCCAAACCCACCCCGTGGCAGGAATTAGTGTCAGAAAGGAGCAGCAGGCACAGAGCCCAACCTGGAGAATAGCCCTTGGAGAAGCCACTAAGAGAAAAAGGCCACCTGTGACCCCGCACTGTGCCCCTCCTCGGGCTGCTCGAGGCCTCTGCTGCCCACCTGGGAGCCAGGGGATCCCCACGGGGCTCCCCTGGGGACAGTCCCTGTGCAGCAGCCAGAGCCTCCTGGCAGGCAGGGAACGGGGCTGTAAACTGCAGGGAGCCGGGCATGTAAACACAGACCAGGGTACGGGGGGGCTGTGCCCGGGGGCTTCTGGCCCCCCACTGCCCCAAGGGACCAAAACCGGGGGACAAGGGGGGGCCCACAAGCCCTAGCCCTCCCCGTGGAGCCGGGGAAGCAGCAGCATCCCCCAGGAAGGGGGCTCTGGAGCAGGGGACAGTGACACTCGACCGTGTATAAAAAAGGAACTGATCTTCCCCGGGAAGAGTCTGTGCCCCACGGCCCCGGCTCGGGGCCCGGGGCCGGGCGGGGAGGTGTGTGGGGAGCGCCGGAGCCGGGCTGCAGATGTTAGAGAGGAGGCGAGTCTACGTTACGTGGGGAGGGGGCGCGGGGGTCCAGTCGAGTCGCGCATCCCGGGAATCCGAGCACTGAGATGGGTCAGGGAGGCCGGCGATGCCTGTGGGTGAGGCAGCTCCTCAGACGGCGTTGGTGGGGATCAGACAGGCATTCCCCCTGCTCCCCCTCCTCTACAAGCCCCAGGGATCACAACTCCATCCTCCCACGATGGATCAGGAAGCAGGGCACTGCGCTGGGGTCCCAGCTCCAAACCCCACTCCCACCCCAGGGACCACCAGCCCTTCACAGACCTCACTTGATGAGGATCCCCGTGGGCCGGGCCTCGTCCTCGCTGGCGTTCCTCAGGTTCTGCTCCGCTTCCTCCGAGGACCTGGGGCAGAGGAGGGTGAGAGGCGCTGCCACGGCCCCTCAGCACCATTTACCCCGTTCCCACCCCACTCACGCCAGGAAATCCTTCACTTCCTCCACGGTGATGTCCCCGGTGGTGTCCAGCGGGTTCTCCATGCTGCTGTTGGGGGAGTCGATGGGGCCGGGCGAGAAGGTGGCCGAGTGCTCCTCAGGGGACCCTGGGGAGTCGGGGGACAGGAGGCATTGGGGACAGCCAGGACGCAGAGCCGGGCTTGGAGCAGGGCTGTGGGACACGGTGTGTGTGCAGGGACAGGGTGGGCACTCACGGTCGCTGTCCGAGGGGGAGTGCTGGCTCTCGGAGCTGCGCGGGACGTGGGTGCCGTTCGCCTGCGGCAGCTTCGGTGTCACCGTTGAACTGTTGCTGGAAGGAAACAGGGAGAAGTTATGGCTAGAACCGGTGTCGTGGGGTGGGTTCCCACACAGCAAAGCCCCCCCACGCCCCCGAGACAGCCCACCTGAGGCAGGAGGTGTCCTGGAGCTGGGCGACCTCCAGCCGGCACAGGGGCTCCGTCACATTCCTGGCGCTCAGCGAGAAGCGCTCAAACTCGGATGGTGAAATTAGGTAGAAACCTACAGGGGGGACAACAGCGAGCCTCAGGAATCCCCCAGAAGGTTGCAGCTGAGGTCAACATCCCATCGACACAGATGTCACCTGGCGTCCTCACCTTGGCCGTGCTTGGTGAAGACGCAGGAGGCAATGCCACTGATGTCCTCCTTACGGATGCAGCTGTAGTGGACCTGGGGCCGCAGGCTGGGCACGGTGAAGATGTGGATGTCCCCCAGGTTGGTGAGACAGGCCAGGCAGTTCTCCAGCCGCTCCTCGGAGCCAGCACTGGCCAGGCTCACCAGGGCCACCTTCCGCACCCGGCAGCCCTCATGTGCTGTCAGCTTGAACTTGGTCTTGGCACTCACTTTGGGCAGCGTGAACACCTTGAGGGGGAAGGAGGAGTCAGGCTCAAGGAAGCTGCAGGGCTTAAGGGGACACCTTCCCCTTGGATTCACCACCCTAGAACAGGCATAGGAGTGCCCCCAAAACCTGACTGGTCACCTCCAGTCCTTGCGTGATGAGGACATCGGAAGAGGACACGGGACATTTTGTGTCTCATCTCTACCAGAGTGGGACACTGAGCCCCGCACTCACCTTGAACTGTTCCTCGGAGGAGATGAGCATGGAGTGGCTGCCCTGCATGTCAGGGGCCTTGGCCAGGTCCCGAGACACCTCGTAGGGCTCGGGCAGGGGGTTCCCCCGCCCGTCCAGCACCGCAATGGCCACCACCGGCGCCCGGTGCATCAGCTGGATCTCCTTCCCCAGCACCGCCTCCACCGCGCGCTCCGAGAACTTCTCCTGCGACGGCACCTCCAGGGCGTAGGCGAACACCGACCCCGAGTTGGTCCCTGCCCACATCGTGGGGCCGTGGTGGGCAGCTGTGGGGATGGAGCAGTGTCAGAGTCCCCTCCCCACAGACCCAGCCTGGGGCCTTTTCCCTGGGGAGGGAGGGAGGGAGGGAAGGGGGTCTCACCGTCACGGAGGAAGGTGTCGGCAAAGTAGAGGCACCGCACGACCCCCGAAAGCGAATCATCGGCCGAGCGAGGCTCGATCCGCCGCTGCACCGGCGTCATCTCCACCTCGGGGGGGCCCGCCTGCTCCGCCAGCTGCGCGTTGGCCTCCTGCACCTGGGGAGGGGACGCGGGGTCAGCCCCTGCTTGGTGGGGACGGGGAGCTGCCACGGTGGCCCCCACTCCATGCCCACCTTGCTGGAGGGGCTGCTGGCATTGAGCCTCTTCTTGCCCGACACGCGGCTCTTGCGGATGCGGCGGAAGGACTGGCGCAGGGACTTCTTGAGGGACTTCACTCGTGACAGGGGTCCCTCCATGGCCAGCGAGTCGTTGGGGTGCAGCGTGCACCTGCGGGCACCGACGCTGCTCAGCACCCACCGTGCCACTCCACGGGGTCCCCAGCACCGAGGTCCCCCCGTACCTGGCCAGCACGGGGTTGCGCCGGTAGTAGTCGAAGAGCCCGAAGCCGTGGCTGGTGCCAAAGGCCACGAGGTTCCACTCGGAGTGGAGGGTGACGGCGGTGACGGCGGCGGGGGGCACGCACTGCACCAGCACGCTGGGCTGGAAGCCGGGGGGGAAGTGGAGGGGCCCATTCCGGGGGGCCAGCCGGTCGTGGCCCTTCCAGGTGAAGCCCTCACGGTCCTGCAGCAGGTCCACTGTGGCCACGCTGACCGCGTGCTCCGACTTCTCGTCGCTCAGCTCCATCACCAGCACCTGCAGGGATGAGCACACACAGGGGGGACACACTGGAGACCCCCAGCCGGCCAGCCTGCTGCACATCAGGGGTTAAACCCAGGCTGGGAGCCCTTTAAGGACAAGTATGGGGGTCTGTAGCCCCCTCATGCTGTGGGTTCCCAATGGGAGAACCGAGAGGTGCTTGGCAGCCCCTGCTCTGCCCGTGCCACCTTACCTGCCCCGCCGTGCCAGCCACCACCATCTTGGCCGTGTACTTGCAGAGCGCGATCTTCTGCACGCCCAGGCGCGGGTCATCGCTGTAGGGATCAAAGCAGCCCACCTGCGGGAGGGGACAGCTGAAGGGACAGCCAGGACCCCGCCCAACAGCTGCAGGACAGCCCCCCCTGCACCCCCACACCCCTCCACCAGCTGTGGCACACGGGCCACTCTGGGCATCACGCCCAGGAAAAGTCTGTCCCCATGCGCCCCCACGGTGGGGCAGACCCGCGGGATGGGGCCCACGGAACAAGCGTCCCTTGTGTCCCCACAGTGCGTCACACAGCAGCTGTGCCCTGAGCCGGGGGACACAGCCCGGGGCGCAGCCGGGATGGCTCCGGCAGGTGCATCCCCCGTGCCCAGCTCTGGCTTTGCCCTCTCCAGTGCTGAGCTCCGCGGGGGTGTCACCCTGCCCCGGGGACCTCACCTTGCGGAACGGAGGCCACTCCTCCTCGCCCGCCTGGTTGAGGCTGTCGTTGTGCTCACAGTCTGTCTGGAAGATGTTGGCGGTGCCCAGCTTGTAGAGGGGCTTCAGGGAGACCCCCGAGGCGTCCCAGAACCGCACCGTGCCGTCCTCGTGCCTGGGCGGGGGGAGTCCTGTCAGCATCTGCCCGGCTAACAAGAGCTGCCTGTGTGCTGGCAGCCACCGTGCCGGAGCGGGGGAGAACGGGGACAGCGCAGCGGGTGACACACTCGTGCCCGGCCAGAACAACAAGGGGCAGCCACTCGAAAAGAGAGAGTGGATGCTACCACCATCCCATCCCACTCCTCCACCGCAGGAACCAGTGTGGATGTGTTCCCCCTGCATTTTGGGTTTCCCAGGCCCCCTCCCTGCTGCCAGCCCACTCACCCGGTGAGGAGAAGCCCTCTCTGCGTGGGCTCCTGGGCCAGGTTCTTTCCCCCATCAATGGGCCAAGCCTGGAGGGAGGGATGGAGAGGATGGAGGAAGGGATGAAGCTCACTGGGCCACGCTGGAAGAGGCTCAGCGGGACCCCTCCCCACCATCCCCATCACTGACCGCAGAGGATTGCCGGGGGCTCTGCTGCTCGCCCACGCTGACGATCCTCTCCCAGAGCTTGAGGGGCACGTTGGAGACATGGCAGGAGCAGGTGATGGCAGAGGAGTGGAGAGGTGCCAGGTATGGGGCAGGGATGGTGGGCCAGCCCGGTGTTTGCAGGTCGACGGCCACCAGCTCCTCCTCCACCAGCACCACGAGGGCTCGGGGGTTCTCAAAGCCTGGGGAGGGGGGAGATGGCTGCTGCATGTGGAGACCCCCACACCATCACCCGCTCCCTGGGAGGCCCTGGCAGGACGTACCTCCCTCGGGCACCTCTGCGCTCTGCACAGTGAAGAAGTCAATGACGCGGGAGGTGAAGTCGAGCGTGGCCAGGGTCTGGCCCTGCAGCACGCTGACACAGTGCCTGTCACCGTAGCTGGCCCGGGGCATCCCCCCACTGAAGATGATGAAGGGGTTCCTGGGTGGGACGAAGCAGCTGCCATCAGACCCTGGACCCCCAAGTGCCCCCCGTGCCCATGCCCAGCCCGCACACCTACCCCGACTCGCAGGTTCGCCAGAGGATTTTGCTGATGGCTTTGCAAGGGAACGGCCCTGAAACGAAGACACCAACACTGGTTGTAGCGCTGGGGTATGTGGGGGATCAGCCCCCAGCCCCAGCGCCCCCCCAGCGCCCCGTCCTGTACCGTAGGGGATGGTGGACATGACGGGCTGCTGGCTCCTCTGGCCGGTGCCGCTCACTGCCCACACCATGTACCCGCCGTCGCTGTGGGAGCTGACGATGCTCGTCCCGCTCTGCTCCCAGGCCAGGCTCTCCAGCTGCTGCGGGGCCACACGGGGGGCTCAGCTCTCGCATGGGGACACACACACAGGGCCACAACCCCGCCAGCCCCGCGCCAGCCCCGGTACCTGGTTCCCCAGGAAGAGATGCTGGACAACACGAGTGCTCTGCTCCCACAGGACCACCAGCCCCCGGCTGTACCCGATCAGGAGCTGGCTGCTGCTGCGTGGGTGCTCCTGGATGGACTCCACGGGCCCCAGTGCCTTCCCGCAGCGGTAGTCATCAGGGACACTGCGGGGGGACAAGCACAGAGGGGTCAGAGCGGGGCTGGGGGTGCTGGGGACAGGGCATGGGGCCAGCAGGGCTCTCACCTCTGCAGGATCTCGTCTGGGAAGAGGGTTTTGTCCTCCAGCAGCGTCAGGGTGGGCAGGGTGACAAAGTACATGGCACCGCCCTCAGTGCCCAGGCAGACCGTGGCACCAGCAGCCATCGGTAGGACCACTGTCACCCGTGTGATGCCAGGGGAGCAGCTGAGGGGGGGACAGGGGCTGCCTCAGCACCGTGTTGGGTCTGGGGGAGCATCAAAGAGACCCCAGACCTCCCCGGCTCCATCCCTACATTCCCATCTCCCCTAGTACAGGAGAACAAGGACAAGAACAGCCTCAGTGCCGACAGCAATTAGAGCCATTAATCACCCCCAGGCTCTGCCAGCACCATAAAAAATCCAGAGCTGTTCCCTGCACTCAGCATCTCAGTTCGGATCAGAGGAGCATCCCAGTGGGGAAAACACCACCACGGAGAGGACCTTGGCCAGCATCCCGCCCCAGCAGGCCGGCTGCTCCCATGCTGCTCCCACGCATTCCCAGCTGCGGCCGCAGCCCTGCTCCAATCCCCCCAGGCAAGTACTTAGCGCTGCCGGACCCTGGGCGTCCCGGGAGGCCGAAGCTGCGGGTCTCCTCCAGGTGGGAGCAGCCCTCCTTCTGGCACACCTCCCACAGGTGCAGCGTGTTGTCGTCCAGCAGCGAGAGGAGCCAGCCCTGGGGATGGGGGGATGATTTGATGGAGGGGTGTGTGAGGTGCTGGGGGCTGCTGCCAGGTTCTCCCCCGGGACACCCACGTACCTGGCCGGGAAGGAAGTGCAGCTGGGTGACAGTGGCTGTCTCCTTGTGCAGGCCGGTCAGCTCCACACCCGGCGCGCCATATCTGGGGGGGCCGTCAAAGAAACAACGAGGGTGGAGCCCCCCCGCCCCTTCCCCAGCAAACCTCAGGACCCTTGGAGTTCCCCCTGGTCACAGTTCTGCCTGCAAACACCAGTTTAGCTCCCCAGGAGAGCCAGGGCAGAGCATCCCTGGCCGCACCCCATGCCAGAGCTGGCCATGGCACCACCATCCCCATCCGGGATCCACCAAGCACCTCCAACTCCAACCAGGACGCTCTGAATCAGCCTGGAATCCACCCAGCACCTCCAGCTGAGACACTGCAGGTCAGGCTGGGATCCACCAACCACCTCCTGCCGGGGTGTCCCAGGTCAGGCTGCGGCCAGCACGCAGAGCTGGGGTGGATGTGTGAGGTGTGAGAGCGCCGGGAGCCCGGCACGCACCGGCAGCGGGGTGGGGTTCGGCATGCGCCGGCACAGCCTCACTCACCCGACTGGTCCCGGCTCCTCTGCTGGGCAGGAACCACGGCAGGACCCGAGCAGCAGCTCCAGCACTCACAGAGCAGCCTGGCCTGGCATCCCCAGCACCCCCAGACCCACCAGCTGCTCCCTGCCAGCCCGGCATTCACCAGTGCACTGTGCAGCCCCATCTGAGCATGCCGTGTGCTGGGGGTACCTGCCCCCGGCCACCTTCTGGTGCCCTCGGCACGGGGAACCAGCCCGGCAGCTCTGCCCGGCCGGACAGGCAGGAGCTGTCTGGCAGTGCTGGGCACAGCTGAGCCGGCAGAGCCAGGGACAGCCACGGAGTTTTGGGGAGAGCAGGCAACAGGGCATGGGAATGAAGCAGGAAGCACGCAGAGGGCCCTCGGTGCTACATGCATGGTGGATGCCACCCATCCTTGCGCATTCTGGGGTCTTTCCCCACCCAAAATAGTGCCACAAGCTGAGAGCCATCAGGGCAAGTGGCTCAGGCACCCCAGTGGCACCAGCATATGGAATGGGGGTCCAAGTGCAGGGACCCCCAGCTGCCTCAGGAGACCCCCCCAGGCATTGGCTGCCCCTCAGTGCCAGGCTGTCTGCAACCAGAGCGGCCCAGCCCGGCCAGGGAGCACCCAGGGGTGCCCCCACTAACCAGTAACGCCAGTCAGGCCAGCTCTGGCTGCTGCCTCGCCCGGCACCGCCAACCTCCAGAAGCATCACTTTGGAGGCAGCCTGAGCGGGGCCGTGTAGGCACGGGGTACCACGCTGGGTACCACCCCAAAAACCATCCCCGCAGAGGATGCTCAGGGCATCGCAGCCCCCCGCAACCGCATCCCTGCAGCGCCGGGGGCTGGGCTCAGCTGGGACCGGCACCGCGGGCCAGGCAGGGCGAGTGGGGCGGCCGGCGACGTCTCGGCCGGGCTGGCACCCGGGCGGCCCCGGCAGAACAAAACACGCCATCTTTGTGCTCGGGAGGCAGCGAGCCGCCGGCCTGGGGGAGGGGGAGCGCGGCTGCCCCCCACGCCCCGACCCCGCGCCCCCAGCCCGCATTCCTGCGGCGCGGGGCCCCCCGAGCACGGCCGCATCCAGCCCTGGCCGCCCGCCAGAGCCCTCTGAAGTCTCCCTGCATGCTGCCGGCAACAAAGCCCGGCCGGCCCCGCTCGGCGTCCCCCGCTTCGGCCCCCCACCCGGGACCGGGCTCCGCGCCCACCGCAGCCCCTCTTCCCAGCGCTGGGCCGGCCAGAGCCCCTGCTGCTCCCCCGGGGGCTGCGTGGATGAGAAGGATGGAGAGGAGCCCCCCCGGGATAAGCGGGGTAACGGCAGGAAGGACCCCACACTTGGGATGCTCCCCCCGGGACGGCCGAGCCCCTTTCCCCCGCCGGCGTTTTGGGGCGAGGTGGGGGTTTCCTCCAGCACTCCTCCAGCTGCAGCACAGCTGGACGGAGGGATGGACGTCAGCCGAGTGGGGGCTGCGGGATGGGCCAGAAGCAGCGCAGCCACGTCTCCAAGCATTCTCCGGGATGGGGAGAGCCGGAGGAGCGAACGCGGGAGGGTCCGGGAGGTCCTTACCTCCTGCTCATGTGGGAGGAAAAGGATACAGCTTGACGGCTCCCGCCTTGGTGCCGATGGCCATCACACGCAGGACGGGGTCGTAGGCCAGGGCGCTGGGCTGGCTGGGGAAGCCGTGCTCCACCGTCTGCCATGGGGACAGGCAGGTCAGAGCGGGACCCCCCCCACCTCGGACACCCCCAAACCTTCCACAGCCCCCCTCGCCCCCACAGCTGCGATCCCGCACCAGCCTGAGCATCACCCCGGAGATGGGGGATCACGAAGATGCTGCTCTGTCCCCCAGTGCCACCAAGGAGGGCCCCGGGGAAAGGGGACATCACTCCTCACCCAATTTCCACCCAGCACTCCAAAACCCAGCCCAACAGCCACAGCGGGGTAGGGCTGACCTTGAACGAGCTGCCCCACCACCCGCCGGCACTTTGGGGGTGGGACCCCCCTGCTCTGAACCTCGGAGGTGGGGACACCCCAGGGGAGGCGAGCGGGACCCCCAGTGCGACATCACCGGGCGTCCCCGATGCCGGGCGGCAGAACCAGGCGAGCGGGACCCGCCAGCGCCAGGGACGTCCCCGCCGGAGCCGCGCGTGGCCCCAGGGCACCTTCCCAAGGAAGTCCCGGCCGAACGGCGTGCCCGGGCTCGCCGGCCGGGGAGGGGCTGCCCCGGCAGCGGGGGGACGCGGGGGGCACCCACCGGCCCGGCCCCGGCGCGGGGACCGCAGGGCTCCCGAGGGCAGCTCGGCGGAGCGGCGACGGCGCGATCAGACGATACGGAGGCCGCCGGAGCCAGACTGGCCGGATCCTGACCCGCTCCCTTTGTCTGGGGCATCCGAGAGGCGCAGCGGGGCGGCTTTGCGCACCCGCCGGCGGCACCCCAGCTCCTGCTCCCCTCCCAGGGGACACCTTCAGGAGCGTGAAAACGCCCCCAGCCCATCCCAGGCGTCCCGGCCCATCCAAGTGGGTCCCAACGCGTCCAAGGGGCGAGGAAGTGGGTGCTCGTGGGTGCCCACCCACGCAGGGTCATGCTGAATCCCCCCGGGATGCACGCTGCGCTGGAGGACGGAGCTGGGACAGCAGCACCACAGCGATGCTTTAGGCCAGAAACCAACACGGTGACACGGGCAAAGAGTCCCCAAAAAGCGCTGTCGCAGCTCCCCAGCACTCCCAGTCCCAAAAGGAGGGACCCCCGCCGCAGCCCCCGCTCCCGCCCGCAGCGGGGCCGCATCCGGCAGGCTGTGCCGGCCGGCCAAGGCGCGCTCCCGGCCAAATTACAGCAAATCCCAGGCAGATCTGGAGCTCGGGAGGAAAAACAACCCTTAATGGGAGGCAGGTGGGCAGCCCGCGGCCCCAGGGCTGGGACGGCCGGAGAGGGGCTCTCCTCAGCCTCCCCCCAGGACATCCCACTGCTCACACCCGCCCTGGGCACTCGTTCGGGCAGGATCCGGCCGCGGGACTGTGCTCCCCAAAAACAGGGGGGCTCAGGCTGGGCTGAGCCTTGCACCCCGGCCGGATCCACGGCAGAGAGTTGGGGGGCCAGGGCTGTGCGGGGCGCTGACCCCTCAGCACTGCACACCCGACCCCGCTGTGGGACAGCCGGGGGTCGCCCCGGTGCGTCCCCAGCAGGAGCTGGGCAAGGACCCCACGGCAGTGCCGGGACGCGGCCGAATGACGGAGAGACGGGCACGGTTTGGGCGCATCCAGGGGGCACTGCCGGTGGTCTCATGCCCCGCGGGCAGGGCAGCAGCACGGTCCCAAGGCCACCACGGCGCCTCCAGGACAAGGTGCACCAAGTCCCAGGCACAGCCCGGTGTCCCGAGGGAAGGGTCTGGCACCTCAGGGCTTGTTTGATGAGCTTGGGGGTCGCTCCCACCCCAGATGAAGGAGGCAAGTGGTAAAACTCGGAGGGAGGAGGGGGGCAAGAGCTGACCTCTCATGTCCGCACAGAGACGCATCTTTGGGGTGCCAGGGCACCCCAAAAGCCCAGGGGGTCATTGGCACAGCCCTTCCGGCTGACACAGGGGGTCCAGCCCCCCTGTATCCCACCCCTGGGGAGACGGGAGTGGGGGGCTGAGCCCCACATGGGGGATGCAGCCAGGGATGCTCCAAGGCCAGACAGGGTGTGGGACCACGGGTCACCCCAAAACGCCCGCGAGCGAGGCCTCGGGGGATCCACGGGACAGGGGGGAGTGCGGGAACCGGGGCGCTCCGGGAGCCCCCCCAGGAGGGGCTGGGGACCGGGATGTCGCGCTGCTCAGGGGGTCGCATCCTCTCCCGGAGTGCCCCCCTGCACCGCACGGGGAGGAGCGCAGCCCCCCGGTCCGCACCCCGGGGCGCATCTCGCACCCGGGGGCTCCCGGTACCCACCCCCTGGGGTGCATCCTCCCGGGGCGGCCCAGCAGCCCGTCCCGGGATCCCCGGGCCAGGCAGCCCCGCCGTTCCCGCGTGCCCCTTCCCCGGGAGCGGGGAGGTCCCGGTGCGCGGCTCCCCCGGGGGTTCAGCCGGTCCCGGGGGGCGGTGCCCCGCACTCTGCTCGCCTCCCCGCGGGCGGCATCCCGCGGGGGTACCAGAGCCCCGCGCCACCGGGGGGCTGCCCGCACGCCGCACCCTGCCCGGTACCCCCGGTGCCTCCCGGCGGTCGCCGCCCCCCGGGATCCACCGCCGCGCCCCCCGCTCGCCCTAGACGCACCTTGCTGAAAGCGAAGAGGTCGTGGCGGAGGCGGTCGCGGTGCGGGTCGGCACCCTGCCGCCGGAACCGAAACTTCATCATGGTTGGGCCGGCGGCGGCGGCGGTGGCGGCGGCGCGGTACCGGGCGGGGCGGGCGCGGCCGGCGGTCCCGGGGCCGGTCCCGGGGCGGCGGTGGCGGCGGCGGGGCGCGGCGCGGGGCGGGGCCGGCAGGGGGCGCGGTGCCGGTGCGGGGTCCCCGGTGCCGGTGCGGGGTCCCGGTGCGCGCGCCCGCCGAGCCCGGGCAAGCACCGCCGCGGCGGGGGCGGGGCGGAGCGCCTGACGGACAGCTCCGCCCGCCAATCACCGCGCGGCAACGCGCGCCGCGCGCCGCGGCCCCGCCCACCTGCGCTGCGCCTGCGCCGCCGCGGCTGCCGATGGGAGATGTAGTCTTCTAACTCAACGCCCTCTGCGCTGGGTTTATTTGTATTCTTTTTTAAATCCTCTTCTTTCGGCGTCTTCCCTCGCCGTGGGCATAGTGAGAGACAGCGAGGATACCCCAAGCTTGGTCACGGTGGTCCCAAAGCCCCCACAAACATGGGGCGTCGTGGATTTAGGGTCTCATGGTGTGCCCCACAGCCATGGGGTGCATCAACATGGCGGCGCCCCGGCTGCTAGGCCCGGAGCATCCTGGCGGCTCCCGGAATGAGCACTCGAGCCTCATTCCCGGCTGGCGACTCATTATTCCCGCTAGGGCACCGGGAATGTTGTTCCCCACTCCCCCCGCGGCACCATCCCCAGGTGGGAGGGGGTGCAGCCTGCCCTGCACCCAGTTTTGGGGTGAGTCAGCCCGGGCAGGGCACGGCTTCCCCTCCCTGCTGACTAACCCCGGCCCGGGGAGATGCGGCTGCGGGGCGGTGCAGGGTTTGGGGCGGAAAACAGCCCCGGGCGAGCGGGGAACCGAGCCCCGGTGATGGGCTCACGCAGGGATGGAGGGGCCCGAAGCGCCGGCACAGCCCCGGGACCGAGCGTGGGGAGGCTGGGTCTGCTCCCAGGAGAGGGAAAAGGAGGAAAAAGTCAAAGGAGGAAGAAGGAAAACAGATGGGAGCAAGAAGGGGGTAGTGAAAAGGGGAGGAGAGAAAGAGGACAGGGAATAAGAGATAAAGAGGTGTGAAGAAGAGAGGAAGAGGGAAAGGGGAGAGAAACTGGAGAGAAAGGGGAGAGGGAATAAGAGCTAAAGAGGTGTGAAGAAGAGAGGAAGAGGAGGGAGAAGAGGGAGAGAAAGGGGAGAGAAAGGGGAGAGGGAATAAGAGCTAAAGAGGTGTGAAGAAGAGAGGAAGAGGAGGGAGAAGAGAGGAGAATTGGAGAGAGGAGGATGAGGATAGGAGAGAGAAGGGAGGAGAGCAGGAGAGAAAAGAGGAAAGAAGAGAAAGGGAGGGAGGGAAAGAAAGAGGAGAGAAAGAGCGAAAGGGAGAGAAAGGAAAGAAAGAGAGAAAGGAAAGAGGAAAGGAAAAGAGGAGGAAGAAGCAAGGCCACAGAGCAGCAGATCCCATCCATCCCCTCTCTGGCACCGCACACCCACCCCGTCTCCTCTCGCAGGAGGGAGGCACCAGGAGGATGAGGGGCTCAGCACGAGGCCGAAGCACAGGGTGCTGGCAGCGAGGGGAGGAAGGCAGAGATCCCTGTCCCTGCTTTCTAGGACAGCACAGCCACCCCATTTGGCCACCCTGTCCCCGGGGAGCCGGTGACTCCCTTTATTTAGAGCCATTTCCCTGCTCCAAACCACCTCGCTCCTGCCAGGGGGAATCGAGGCACGTCCCAGCCCCCAGTACCACACAGCCAGGCCAAGAGATGCTTCCTGCTTTTATTCAATTAATGCAGCAATCTATACAAGAAAAAAAAAAATAATAATGAAACCATGAAATTCCAAACCCTGACAGTGAAGAACCAAATTCTTCCTAAGAATCAATTGGAATTAAAAGATTCCCCCACGTCAGACTGTACATAAAATAATCTCTGCTCCATTTACAGCGTTTCACACAGTACTTCTCGTATCTCAAACTTCAGAACTGTACAACTTTGTTACAAACCACGCTTTTTCCTAGGAAAAGCTTACAGAAAAAAATATTGCCACTTTCTTTTTTATTTTTTTTAATTTTTATTTTTATTGGTAACAAAAAAAAAATTAGAATCTTTTAAAAAAAAACCCAAAAAATTAAAGTCAGCCAAAACTTCTAAGTGTGGGCAGGGGAAGGAGCAGAGACATTTCTCACCTGAATGTTTCTCCTCCCAACAGGGAAAGGGAACACTTTTGGCAGGTAAAAGACTCTTTGCTGCTGGTGGGGGTCTAAGACTCTGCTCCCCCTCCGAGTTCTCCTCAAAGCCTGGCAGATGTTTTGATCCATGGGCTTGGCTAATTCCACCACTGACCCTTCTCGAGATACGGTACCAGCAACAAACCCCAATTCCTCCTGTTCTTTGTGGAAAAGCAGGGATGAACCCCACCTTCCTCCCCCTTCCTTAGCAAAGACAGTTTCTCCTGGTCTGGGCACACGGATTGTCACACTGGATGCAGCTCCCAGTTTGGGGCTGAGCACGGACACGCTGTGGGTGGATGGAGAGGTTGGACCACACACAACCAGACCAGACACACGACAAACCAGCAGGGTCAGGGCTGTCATGAGCCTGGCCCAGGGCAGTTTTGCCTCCAAACTCCAGCTCACCCCACTCCCTGCTCAGCCCCAGCCCCATGGCACCAGCCTGACCCCTGCCTGCGTGCAGCCCAACAGTGAAACCCGGGAATTCTGAGCCACAGCTTCAACCAGACAGGTTACAGGAAGGATCCAGACCTCTGGATCCGTGTGAAAAATGTCTTCTGGTTTTGAATCCAGGTTTCACTCCGATGTTGTTCAGTGCAAAAGAGTTAAAAAACCATGTTATCTACACATATACATCCGTGTCTATAGAAAATGTCTGTACAAGTGGGAAGATGGCCCTGCCTGCACGCTGGGGACTCCTCTCCTGAGGGATCCTGCTCTCCCTCTCTCTCCAAGGTGCCAAGCCCCAACCAGTTCAGGTTAAAAACCAAGAGCAGATCGTGGTTGGGGAGGAGATCCTCCTGTCCCCCAGCCACTCTGCATGGATGGGAACGGGGAAGGAGGGGAAAGCTCCCGAGCAGGACATGCAGGAACAGCAAAACAAGCTGGGAAAGGAATCTTGCACACGCACAGCCTGCACAAGGACTGGGATGAGCTGGTGGCTGGGACCAGGCTAGAGGTGCAAGACCTCAGCATGTCCAGAGACAGAGCCAGCGCCTCATCCCACGGAAGTTCTGCTCTGGGAAGCTGCTCCAGCTTCATTTTGAGTTGACACCAGGGTAGAGCATCCATATTAGAGAGGCAGGGATAAAACTGGGAGCCAGGAAGGGAGAGCTGAGACCTCTGTCACCATCTGTGCCTACAGCAGAGCCTGGCACCATGACTGGAACAGGGCATGGCCAGGATGGATGCAGAAAGACAAAGCCATCAGGAGGAGAAGGGATCTCTGCTCTCTGCGTGCGGTTTTGCTGTCAGGGGAATGCCAAGCTGCCCAAAACAGGGGGTCTGTAGCCAAGAGCTGGCCTGGATTCACAGCAGAAAGCTGGGAGGGTGAGGAACACTGCTTCAAATGCTATGTGTGGTCTGAAAACGGCATTTTCAAGGTTTCACAAGCAGCAGAAGCACAAACTTTTGGATCTCTGGACTGACAAGACACGTTCCTTTGGAGGCTGTGCCAGGAAAACCAGTAGATAATCAGACAGGCACTGGGGACCTCACCAACACCCCCACAGTCAGCACTGTGCTGAAGTGATGGCAACATCCTCTGAGCTCATGTGACAAGATCCAGCCTGAGCAGAACCCCAACACCAGGAAAAAAATCAGCAGGGAAGGAAAAGGACAGCGGGACCCAGATGTCAGCAAATGTCCTCGATCAGCACTGCAGGGAACAATGCCTGGGTGGTTGTTTTAGACCAGGAGCCCCTCAAGCCAGCAGCAAACAAGTTTCAAAATATATTACATCTTTTTATTGCCAAGCGTGCAGACCATGAAGTGTGTGGGGGACACGACACTAAGAAAAACTACAATTGGAAGGAGGGCAAAGCAGTAAAAATTTAAAAATAAGACTACTCCTTACAATTGCCAACACTTGGGTTCAAAGAATCAACTGGAGGAAGTTTTTCCTTAAAAGTACAGCTCTAAATATGGCATTGGGCCCCAAACTTTGCAAACACCAAGGCTTTGGTCTGGGCTAACACAAACCAGGTGGGAGAAGAGGATGATGATGGCAGATGCTCTATCACAACTCCACGGGGCTGAATGCCTGATTCTTCTCAGCATTTCCTGTAGCAACCAGAAAACTCCCTAACCCAGGAACACAGGCAGGAATAAGCCAGGAGAAAGCAGGCAATTTCAGTGCTGGATGCACTGAACTGGGGCCAAACTCGAGCCCTGCAGCGTCCCTGCTCCCAGAGCCAGCCTCGGAGGGGACAGAGCTGCTCAGCTCCCCCAAGGCCACAGCAGCTCCTGGTGCTGCTCCACGAGAGTGCAGCCAGTCCTTTGGGATGGGAATGCTGCACCAACTCAGCTCTCTCCACCTGGAAGGGGCAGTGGAGCAGGGCTCTCCTCGGGGGTCCCAAGGCACGGGCCCTCACAAGCACAGCGTCTCCTACTCCTCTTTGCTATCCCCAGCTCTGGGAAGCAGCATGTGCTCAGTGTGATCCCTCACCTGGCAGCCCTGAGATTCCAATATGGATCTCAGGACAACGCTGAGCCACGTTTCCTTCCTTCTCCAGCACAGCCCCAGTCAGACCAGCACTGAGAAACCAGAGCTCTAGTACATTCTTCTTGGAGAGGGCAGCGCAGGGACACAGGGCTGCAAGCCCATGCTGGCTTGGGAAAAGGGTCTGGAAAGGAAACCTACGGCATTTAAAACACTAAAGTGCAACAAAAATGTCCTAAACCCTTTGAAATCGGTTGCAGCAAGAGGGGTCTGCAAAGCTTCAAACTTCCAGTTACTGCAGGGCACCCTTAAAAGAGACCCAACAACCACCAGGTGAAAAAGACCAAGGAGCCCTTTGGTGAAACAAGGAATATGAGCCCACCACAGGATTTCAGCTCCTGGGGTCAAACATCATATCTAGAACATTTGGAAAGGGAAAGTGTTAAAGCAAAACAAAAAAAAAAAAANAAAAAAAAAAAAAAAAAAAGAAAAAAACCAACTGAAAACCGAAACAAAAATACAATTCTTGAATCTTGCGCAATGAAACAGTTAAACTTTTTGGTGTTTTCAAAAGAAATCCCAACAAACAACCTGGCACAACTTTATCTGCTTCCTAAGGGAGAGATGCCCACTTGACCCATGACTCAGGACACCGCGTGCACTGGACATGTTCCATCCTCACGTATGTCTCAGCATTCCTCCATTCATAAAACCAAATCCTTCCTGTTTACTCTTCAGCCTGAAAGGAAAAACCAAAACTGAAGCTAGATGGAAGATAGCCAGAGGGAGGAGAAAGTTTTCACAGACTGGAGGCCAATCTCATCAGCTCCACGAGCCTGGGAAGTGCAATCCTCAGTGTCGCCTCATTTTCACTTTCCTGGCGGGGCTGCCGTCCTCCTCCTCCTCCTCACAGTCCTCCGTGTACTCGTAAGACCTTCGCCAATAGTTCTCAGAGCTGAAGTTGCTCCGTCTCCTATGTTTTGGTAAGAGGACTGAACGCCTGTTCTCCTCCTTATCCATTTCTAGAATCCGTGGCCTGTGGAGAGGGAGACAACAGGAGTGAGAGCACACCATGATGGGATCCAGGATTCCTCCTGGACACTATCTGCAGCTAACCTGCCATGATAGCTCTGCCCATTTTCCCACTGCTTTCCCAGAACTACTCAGTGCTGGGAAAGTGCTTGGTGATCTGTTCCTGCTCTGCCATCTATTCCTTGGCAGAGCAGGAATAGATCACCAAGTTGCACCTCCCTAGGGAAGCCGAGAACTTTGCTATGATGGTCCAGTTCCTTCCCAAGGCAAGCTTTGGCCTTTACCTTGACCAGTAACACTTCCAGTCAACCTCTTTTTTTTTTACTTGCAAGAAAAATCAAAAAAGACCCCAAGAAAAATCCCTTGGGCAGAGGGGTCTGTCTCTACTGCAGCAGAATTTAGAGCACAGAGCTGAGCTCCTTATGGTGCAGGATGACACAACACAGCTCCAAAATCCTTTGTCCTCTCAAATATTAACACAGTGCAATTGTTATTTCTGCAGAGTAGCCTCTGATCACTTTCTAGCAGGACTAGGTTGGTGGGCTGCACACACCATTTACTTTATCTGAGTGGCTCCTGGGACATCCCACTATGATATCCATGAGAATTACTTGTTCTACTGGAGTCTCTGGGGCCAGAGAAAGAGAAAAACATGTTTTTCACACCCATCTGCTGCAGGAGACTATGCAAGCCATCCCCCACAGGCTGATAAGGTCACATCAGGCTGAAAAACAGCTCTGAGGGATGTGCACATTTGTCCCGCATGATCGCTCCTCTAATCGGACACCGGCCCTCTGCGTGCTCCCAGGGAAGCTGCATCTGCAGCCCAGCCTCAGATCTTCATCCATCTCCCAGCCTGCGTCCAGGTGAATGAACACTGCTCACAAACAAACCATCCCCACCCTCCTCCCTCCAGGACAGGTTCAAACAGGGCTGGGACTGCATGGCAGCCAAGCCCTGCGACCAAGTCAAATTTTGGGTTGTACCCATTGTGCAAAAAAATGCCATCTGGATGCTGAATTGGAATATGCAGGACAGCTGGCAGATTGGCTGTCACTCACAGCCATCAGTGTGCTCACACCGAGGTGTTTAAGGGAAGCCTTGCTGCAGAGCTCAAGCTTGTCTGAAACCTCAGCAAGGAGCTTCCCTGAAGGTCAGCCTTAAACGTCCACACGGTCTGGTTTCTCACACAAAAATACACACACAGAGCTCTGGAATCAAAACAGGCCTGAGAAGCTTCCCAAGAAGTCCTTAACCTTTCCCAGATAGCAAACCCTCACGTTCCCTCCCAGGACTGCTTTCATAATATAGCTTAACGCAGCTGCACAGGTTGCTTGGCAATAGAGGTCAGAAATGATTAGCTGCAGGGAAACTATTGTTCTGAACAACTGCATTATCAAAAGCCAGCCAAATCTATTGCTTCTTCATTATGCCACTCACAGGATAAACAATGTAAGCTGCTTACAGCCAGAGCTCAGCCTCCACAAGTCTGGGAGGAACACTTAAAGAGCTCATTCTGATAAAACAGATCTGGGCATTGCAAACAGCACCTGGCAGGTGCAAATCAGAATGGTTTAAAATATGTTCTGAGGCCAGGGACCTCAGCTATGCACAGAGATAACATCCCAGACATGGCTCTTAGGAGGGATGATCCTACCTGTGGGCAGCATCAGGATCTGCTTTGCGATGGGACCGCTTTGGTTTCAGGATCTGGTCCCGGTTGCTTCCCGACAGGCGGTCAGAGTTATAACCTGGTGGCAACACAGAGCTACTCAGGGATTTTGTTTCCAATCGAGGTGCATCTAGTCTTGTTCTGCAAATATTGAAAGAGAAGAGAATTTGCAAGGAGTTTCTACAGCATCACAGCAGAACTCTCCACCCCAACCACACACAGCTCAGGAGGAGGGGCAGGAATACCCCATTCCACAGCACAACAAGCTGCAGCTTTGTGGTACTAGAAGCTTCACAGAATCACAGAATGGTTTAAGTTGGAAGGGACCTTGAAGATCTTCTCATTTCCAAACCCCTGCCCCAGGCAGGAACACCTTCCACTAGACCAGACTGCTCCAAGCCCTGCTCACCCTGGTCCTGGACACTTTCAAGGATGGGGCAGCTTCAACTTCTCTGGGCAACCTGTGCCAGGGCCTCAGCACCCTCACAGGAAATGATTTTTTCTTTACATCTAATTTAAACATATTCTCTGTCAGTTTGAAGCCATTGTCCTTTATCCTGCCTTGGCTTAGGGACACGCAGTCATGAGGTGAATGCAAAAAGCACCGAGCTCACTGCAACCCCAGCTCTGGGATAAGGAGCAGAGGTGCTGGAGCAGCTGTGAAATCCCATGAAATCACTTGGCAATAACTCACAGCTCCAGTTAAGCCACCTGGGTGGGAGATGCCCTGCAAAAGCATCATCACCTGCAACAGTAATAACTGCTTCCACCTGGAAACTCCCTCCTGCCCACGGATCTCCCGGGGTCAGGTGTTCCTCAGCTTGACTGCCAGGTGCAAGAGTTGAAGTACGAGTCAGGAGAAGGCGTAGCAAACAGAAGCTGCACTAAATCCCTTCCAGCAGCTATGCTGGAGAGCAAGCACAGCTCATCCCAAAGGAGAACTGTCACAGGACTGTAGCCATGCAAAAATGAAGGGGGAGAACCACTACTTGCTCTCCTGCGCTGAACTTTAGTTCCTGAAGGAGGTTTCCACAGGAGAATCCAAATCTAAACTTCCATTAGGAAACACATCCAGTTGCCAAAGCTTCTCTCTGCCATCAGGGAGAGCCTCTTCAGCTAATCAGGGTGATGCCAGTCTGGCACAGGCAAAGCTGGGCATGGCAGCCTGAGTTTGCCCAGCATGCCAGAAATGAGGAACGCTTCCACGGGCAGCTGCCAGGCTGGAGCCTGTGCTAGTCCACGCTGTCACCCTGAGTTTTCTCAGCTCCAGGGCTGGACCCAGTCCAGCCCAAACTCCAAAGGCCTTGCAGATCCTGCCCGTGACAAGGGACGTGGTTTAAATACCTCTCAAATACAACAGCAACTTCAGGGCTGCAGTTCAAACAAATCAACACACAATACACTGCAAGAGCAAGGGAACACCAGCCTTGCTGCCTCTGGCCAGGTACAAGGAGAGGTGACACTAAAATTAAGAACAGCATACCTTCAAATGAACTCTACTTATGAGAATGAAAGCAGAATGGCAGCAAAAGCCTCTAAAATTGCTTTACCCACCTCCCACGTTACCTCTACCAGCATCTCATAAATTGAGAGCACCATTCCTCCCCTGCCCTGGCTCAAAGCACTTCCAAACCCTGCTGGCTCCCGGCAGCCCTGCGATCCAATACAGAGGAAACACAGAGCACTGAAATGTTTATGACCTGCTCGGTAACCACACTGCTCTGGAGAATCCTGCAAAACCCCACTGCTCCTCCAGCTCCCAGAGCTTTGTTCTCCTGCTGCTGTCAGCGAAAACACACTCAGAGCAAAAGCAAGAGCAGAGCCAGACTTAAACGTTGGGGAATTCAGAGCCGAACATCCCAGCTCCAACCGGGATGATCCAACTGATGCGATCCGGAGAGCTCAGGGCTGCTCCTCACCAAAATGAAGAGGAAGAGGCCGCTGGCTGCTCTCGTGCTCGCAGGCCACCAGGGGAAGTGCTGCTTTCCTGGTTGCACAACACCCTGTTCCAGGCAGCCGCATGATCCGGGGATGGGAACGGCGATCCACAGTGCGGCACAAGCGGAGGGCACGGCGGCCCCGCTGCGCGCAGGGACACGCAGGGGACACGCGGAGGTGGCCGCCCTGGCTGGGGATAAGCAGCAATTAATAAGCTCTACTTGGCAGCAATCACAGCCCAGCCTTTGGCAAACATCGGCATGGATTCGCCACGGCTGCGAAAGCTACGCAGAAATAATTGCCAGGGGGTTTCTGCTTTGCTCAAGAGAAAAATGCTGGTGTGGTTTCGTCTGGTCTGTCTGTTGGGTCAGCCCTCACTGTCTGATGGGCAGAGACACTTCTGCTCTGACAGGAAGCAAATAAGGGCCCAAAAAGCAGGGTGGATGAGCAAACAAAGCCAGCAGAGCTCCAGGTTCTGTCCCTGCACCACGTCAGCTGGGTACAACTGGGGAGACCTCACTGCTCCTCCCAGGACTTAAAGAGGGCTTATAAAAAACACAGAGAACAACTTTTTATGTTGGGAGATGGTCATAAGACAAGAGGGACCATTGTTAAACTAAAAGAGGGAAGATTTAGATTGGATATTAGAAAGAAATCCTTTACTCATAGAGCTTGCCCAGAGAAGTACACGTCGGACGGGGCTCTGATCTAGTGGAAGGTGTCCTTGCCCATGGCAGGGGCTGGAAACAAGGCCAAGGTTTAAGGTCCCTTCTTTCCCAGATGCACTTTGAGGGCAGCCAGGCTTGACTGGAACAATCCAACACCCTCAACTTACCAAAGCTGGAGAAAGGAAGAGGCAGAGCCAGTTTAAACAGGTACACTGGATATCTGCACCAGTTTGGGCAGCTTTAGCTTATTTATCTGACTCTGTCTTTTCCAGAAAACTGCTCCACAACTTAGACAAGTAGCTTCTCTTTCTCAAAGTCCAACCAAAGCAGCTACAAGACTTGGAGATGCCTCCTTGTCAGCATTTGTGCTGCTTTTCCCTGGCTGCTCCAACACCATGAACACAACAGCTGGAAGTTCTTATCACAGCCTCTCGCCCCAAACCTCACGTGGCCATACCCAGCTGTGGGCTGGTTTGGCTACAGCCTGCCTTTCATCCCTCTCTATCTCCTGCCACATCTCATCCTGCCTCCCTGGGTCTGGGCTGATTTTGCTTGGCTAATGCCTCAGGGCTGCTGTTTTTCCTGCCTTCATTCCATGAGTTTCTCTAACCAGATGTCCAACTCCACTCCACTGGCTTTGTGCCATATCCTCATAATGTTGCCAGACTTGTTTTGAAATCAAGTAAGCCATCCAAAAGCTCATCCAGTCTGGATCCAGACCGCTTGCCTGTGAGCCTTATGCCAGCCTGGGCCACAACCACAGCCCTGCCACCAATGCCCACGTTTCTGGCTGGGTTTACAGGACTCAAAATGTGTATTTTCATTTATAAAGACTCTTCTTGACAGTAGAATTACTGCTAACACCTTCCAAGGCACAGTCAGCAGGGGTCAATGTGTGGCGGTCACATTTTTTGGTCTCCTAGTAGAAGAACTGATAAGATAGGACATTTCTAGGCAGAAAAGAAGGTTTTACCAAGGGACTTTGGGGTGGGCTTAGTTTACTTTGTCTCACATTTTCTTAAGAGCTTTAGGAACAAGCACTGATTGATGAAATGCCATCAGGAGTGCTCTTCTAGAACAGGAAGCCCCTTTCTAAAACTGCTTATGGAGCTTGGCTTCCCAACACAGACTCAAAGGACAAGCTCTGTAATGAGCACTGAACTATGTGTTTCCCTCCAAAGCCAGTGTCTTCCTCTCTCCCCAGGAAACCAAAGCCATGACACCAAGAAAACCTTCTCTGCTCCATAGGACATTCTTCATCACAAGTATCAGCCTCAAAAGACCATCCAGGTAACTCACACATGGGTATCACACACCCAAACACCTGTACACACAGCCCAAAACAGGAGTTTGATACCCAGGTGTTTGGAGCTGGGCAGCCAAGGGAAAGAAAGTCAGTTTGGGCACCAGAAGGGTTTGCAACCCCAGACATGACAACAAAGTGCTGCTGCACAGAGCCAAGAAGTGATTAACCCTGCAGGAACAGGCTCCAGCCACTTCCACTGCCGGGTACAGCAAGACATCAGCGAGTGTCAGAGTGACACCTAATCAAGGTGTAAGATCAAGCCAGCAAATTAACAAGCAACACAGTTCTCAAGTGTTTAAGCATCATGACACCACATCCACGTTTATCTTGCTGTCTGGAGGGCTTCAACACTTACTTTCGGAGGATGATGACAGCTCTCCTCTCCTTGATGTCCTGTGGTCGAATGCAGTGTGTGATTTCATCGGCCGCATACCCACTGACAACAGAAACAAAAAGCCACCATCAGGGACATGCCAGGCAGAAGCAGAAAGTGGTTTCCAGCCTCAAAACTCAGTTTGGTCAGTACTTCCTAACTTCCACCAGGAATTCCTCCCCCAAACACCACCCCCCAGGCACACAGGAGCTAGACTTGCAGGCAGGAACAAACATCAGGTAAGGATGAGGACAGTCAGGGGGTTTTGGGGGGTTTCATGACTCAGTTTTTCAGCATACCCCGAAGGAAACTGCCACTTGCTCCAGCACTGTGAATAAAACATGTAGAAATGTAGAATTATAGATTCAGACAATTAATTTATGAAGAAATCATAAAGCAACAGGGGTAAAAAATGAGCACATTCCTCCAAAGCATCATCTCAAACATGCCTATGAGAAAATGTCATCTCTCATAGCTCAGATGTGCAGCACACCCAGACCCAAACATGAAACACATCAAGGAGGTTTTTTAGTCACAGAGGGGTGCAGTCATGGTAAGAGCTGAGCCTCTCACCCCTTCTCCCTGAGCACAGACACCTCATCACCCTCCCCATCACACAGCACATCCTCAGCCACCACAAGAACATCACCAGCCCTAACCCACTGCTCATGGGTTAACCTACAAATTCAGACCTGCAAAGCAAGCTGGACTCCTCTAAAACCTTCCTATAACAGGGTGAAACAGCTCCCTGGTCTGAGGAAAAGCCCAGGCTCAAGCAGTAGCTGTTGTCAGAAGTGTTTCACTGTGTGACATGACTCCAGATACTCCACATTTTCAGCAGGCTGGAGAGAAGCCACAGCCAGCCCCAGCTTCCCACAACACCCTGGAGCATTTCCTGATGGCTTCTTCTGTTTCTAGCTGGGTTCCTGTGCCCAGCAGAGCAGGTGAGGTCACGGTGGGTCCCTGCAGAGCGGCCACCACAGCTGCTCTGACACACAAACCATGCTGGGAGCACAGCCCAGCGACTGCAGGGCTGAGAGGCAGCAGGTCCCGTGGTGGGGCCTGCCCTCTACCTGCCATTTGGAGAGTGTCAGCTCACCCAGAGCCTTCTGGAGTCCACTGCGGGCAAAAGAGAAGCTGAGCACCTTCAGAGCTTCCTGAAACACCCAACAAGGGCAGGAACACCTTGGGAGGCACTTGGGTGAAGGCTGCTCAAGCTTGCACACAGGAATCACCAGGCTCAGTGTCCCCACAAGGCTGGCACACCAGGGGCAGGGGCTGGCAGGTTATTCAGGACACCCTGAGCAGAGAACAGAGCTCACACACACAAGTCCTCTCCAGGGACAGGACCAGGTTTCCTTGATCTGCTTAGATAACCCACCCACTCACCCAGAAACACCTCCTCACACACAGATTTACTGCTCTGCGAGGAGAGCTGAAAGTCCAAGGCCTGCCCAGTTGAAGCAGGGGTGGTGTCCATCCCCACCATGCTCCAGGCATTGCAGAACACGGACAAGGGCCTTATGATGATGCTCTATTACGTTCCTGGAATCTCTGTGTCAAGCTCCAGTGAATTCATGAATATCACCCACATTAACATTCCACTCAGCATCCTCAGCAGCACCCTGAGCACCAGGGAAAGGTCTGCTTCCAGATCTGCTTCCAGATCTGCACTCTCCATCACGAGGCATCAGCCTGGACACTTCTTTTCACTCCTTCCCCAGATCGCTTCCAGAGGGGCACCAGGAAGTTTGTGGTCCCAGATCCACATGAGCAACATCAAAAACCAGCCCCACCACTCCGGTCTGAAACCACAAGGGGGACACACCAGTCTGGCCTGAGTGCCAAACTGGTGTGGAAAACTCTGCACTGTATCATATATAGTGATGGAGTGCCTCTGCACAGGCAGAGAAATTAAAGAAAAGGATTATTTGGTTGTCATACTCTTGCTGCCTCGTGCCAGCATGAACTTCTCACCCACTGCCCAGTCCTGCAAGCCCTGAGGATGGGTGAAGGGGCAGACCCTGAAGGAAAACACCCATAATGATATCAGGGGTCTATGCACAGATTTCTTGCCCAGAGAATAAACTCAATAAAACCTAGAAAGGAAAATTATAAATTCCTGCCCATGAGAACACTCGAGCGTGACATTTCCATCCCAGAGTGTTTTCCAGAAGAACATGGGCAAGTGCTGATGTTTTCTACACACTACCCCAAAACCAGACCCCAATTCCAAACTAACCTGTCAAACCTTACACCCCCAACCCTTCCCTGAGTATTTTTCCATCCGGAAGAGCCGCTGCTGAGCCAGAATTGATTCACACAGAGATAAAAGTGGATATTTTTGTGCAAACATCACCAGAAAGGAAGCCTTGAAGTTCTACAGACTCTAACAAGAAAAGCTTGAACAAATCTCTGCCTCATCACCACTGGCACATGTGGAACTTCCTCTGCACCAACAGCCTGTTCTGAGGGATCAGGCTATTTTGGAGCAGACAGCTGCAGAGAGATTCCTCCAGCTGGGAAGGAAGGAGGTTCATCCTCCAGCGACTCCAGCCTGCTCTGACTGTGCCTCCATCAGGCACGCCTCGAGACAACAGGAGGGACACACATCACAGCACTCCCCTGCCACTACAAACAGCCAGGAGATGACCTGGAGCACTCTCCAGCTGTGGGAGGGAAGCCTGTATGGCACAAGCTCTGGGAATTTGGGACATGTTACCTGTGCCTTTCGTTCCTCCAGCTGCAGCTGCACTCTTTCCAAAGCTCACACAACATACCTGGCAGTTTCAGTGCTGAGATTTGCTTCCTGTGACAGCAGCTGCAGGACAGGGATCCACCTGGAGCCCCCCATCCCAGGTGGCTCCACACATCCCCTGTTCCCTTCCTTTTTCCCAGCCCAAGCATTCTCAAAGCACACGTTCCCCAGATGAAAAGGCAAATTCCTCCAGCTCCCCCCTCGCTGCTTCTATCGATTGATGCTCACCAAATTGTTGTTAAAATAAGAAAAACCCACAAACGTGGTGAGGTCAGCAGCCCCTCCCAGGGAGCTGATGCTTCCTCATGGCCTGGCTGCCACTGGGACAAACCTGCTTCCCAGGGCTGCAGGACAAGAGGGGACTGGAGGAGGTCATTTTCTAGATCACAAAAGCTACAAGAGCAAATCTTCCCTGCAGATGTGAAAGGAGAGGAGGAAGGGCCTTGCTGGAAGAGGGAAGGGCTCATCAGCAGGTCACGGGGTGGCTCAGCCTTTGCCTTCTGGCAGAGTGGCACAGCCCAGCCACGTGAATCTTGTTCCACCTCACCTGGCATTTGAGTTCTGAACACTTTCCAAGGAGTCTGAGGCAGGTCCAGTGTTGGCAAACACCACATCCTGCTTCAGGGCAGGCAAACAAAGTCAAGAGAGGGAAACTGCAAAATCCCTACTGGGTCAGCAGCTGTGAAATTTGGAGCGGGAATGGAACAGGAGCAATCTGGGGCCAGTGTGAGAGTGCTGTGGGGTCAAAGAGAGGGATTCAACACCTTCCTTTAGATCCTCAGGACTTCCCCAAACACACACAGCTTCCCTGGAAGGGCAGCAGGCCAGGAGCAGCCACTGACCCAGCAGGGTTTGAATCCCAGACATTACAGGCATGCCACCTCTATCTGTGCCCGTTCCCCATCTCCAGGGCAACTGCCTCCAGCAGCTGTTTAGCCAGAGGAGAAAATGCCAAGTTTGGGGAGTTGACTTAGTCATGACCAAGGGCTGGATTTGGTGCCACACCCCTGAGCACGGTCTGCACTTCTACTCCTCCTGATTTTTGGGGCTAGATGGGAGACCAGGAGAGCTGCTGTGAGGCAAGAAATTGATTCCAGACAGAATCCTATCAACACAGAACAGTCTCTCTGGCAGAATCTCTGCTAAGTGAGTGTAAAGTACGTGCTAACTGCCGTACCAAATTTGAAATAATCCCTGTTTTAAAGTCTATTACTTGCTGGAAGGCAGAACATCTGACCGTTGGATTTAGAGGGAAAAGATATCTCGGATATCTTCATCTGGTTTGTAGGATTGCTTCAGCCACATAAACAAACTGATTACAGCACCTGAGTGACACTGGCCAACAATCCAAACACCCCTGGGAGACACCTCACTCCAATTCCATGAGCCCTGAGCCAGCAGCCTCTTCCCAGCAGTTTTGAAGGAAGAGCAAGGGTCTGGATAACTCTTTGGTCCTGGAGAAGAGAAAGCATCTCTCCTTCCTCCCACCATCCTCCACTGCAGATCCTCCTCCGGAGTTTTTCAAGAGGCTTTGACTGCAAGACTTGAGGCTGACCCTGCATTAGCAGCTCTGCCAGAATGCTTCTGAGCAGGATAAAACTCTCACTGTCTTTAGAAAAGAAGGCCTCTGGCTGTAAAAGGAAGGACAACTATTTATCCAGGCCTGATGAGGAAAGACAGCAGAGGGGTTTGCATCAGCAGCAGGAAAATTAGGGTAGAAAGTTTCCCTCCTGGTCTCTTAGAGAAGTCAGGGAGCAGAGCAGCTGCCTCACACCCAGCAGTCCATCCCTGGGGATGGAGCTTGCTCTGCAGTAAAAAGATACAGAGCAGGATGGGTCCCCTTGGGTCCCATTTCACAAAATCACCCTGACCTCTGCCCCCCGAGCCCTGTCGAACCACCAGAGAACGGGAAAATATCCTCAGCGCCATTCCCGACTCCCTCTGCAGCCTCCCTCATCCCCGGCTAATCCACACAAGTTACCTAACACCGGGGTACGGCAAGGATTAGTTAATGTTTGTGCAGCTTTTCCGAGATAAAAGCGACGTGAGATCTCAGCATTTATTATTGATGCCCCAGTCAAGGAGGCCGTGTGTTTGTGGGGGGAAAAAAATTCCTTCCTGAACCCTGCAGCGATCAATTTACAAGCCAAAGCAAGGGATTGTATTACAGCCTGGGAGCCCGGAAAACCAGCCTGGACCTTCACCAGTCCAAAAAAACCACCCCAGAAACGAGGATAGAGCTGGTAGCACTGCTGGCAGAGCCCTGGTGATCCCTGCTCCTGGCAGGGAGGGAGCACTCTGACCTTCAGGGACACCAGGGACCGGCAGCTTCGAGCTGCCCTCCCCAGGAGCTGGACACCAGCAGAATTCCTGTGCTCCAGCCCTTCCTGGCCTCACCTGCCTGTCCCCTCACCTGCCTGCTCCCCGTCCCAGCCCGTACCGGGAGGCAGTGGGATTAGGAAGCAGGCATTTCCCGGTGCCAATCCCAGCTTTACTGCCGGCCAGCTGCGTGACCTTGGGCAGGTCATTCCACCTTCCAGGGCTCTTCCTCAACACACAGAAAGTCCCTTCCTGTGCCCGTGACCCGCTGCACTTCCAAGTGACAATCACGCGGGGCTCTGCACTCTGGTGTCCCCATCGTCACCGGGCAGGGGAGGGTTCAGCATTCCCAGTTCACAGACTGGGAAGACGAGGCCATTCACACCTTCTCTCCACGATTAAGGTCAGGTCAGAGAAGCTAAGAATAGACCCCAGGAGCCCCGTCCCTACCAGCTGCTCCGCTCTGACCACTCTTGGGCAAAGGATCCATTTTGTGTCTGAACGTGTTGTTTTAACCATTTACGGGGACTCAACGCCTAACTCAGCTCTGCTAGCACGCTCCCACCAGCACTCGCCTCAAGCCCCGTGGAAAAGGCACCCACGACGGCGGCAGGACACCCTCCCACCTCCCCAAAATCCCTGCTTCACCCCTTCCACCACAGCGAAGCCCTGAGCTCCTAGAGGCGAGGGAGATGGAGCCCGAGGCGCCGTCGGGGCGCGCATCCGTGCGCCTCGTGATCCGCGTTACACAACCGGAGCCTCGGCAACGCGGGCAGTTACCTGAGCACCGTGACGCTCCCCCTCTTCACGGGCAGGAAGAGAACGGGCTCCGAGACCCTGATGGGTTTGAACTGGAATTTACACCCGAAGCAGAGCGCCGAGTCGCTGAAGAAGGACACGGAGACGATGGGCCTCTCAAAGATATGGATGGGGTCCACGTGGGAGACAATGCAGCCCCCCGGCTGGTAGTCGTTGATGACGGCACTGTTCACAAAGCCCTCGGGGATCACCCGGTGCTCCACCAGCTTCCTGATCACCAGGTCGTGCACCCACTCGGGGATGGCGTCCACCTCCCCCCGCGGGTACAGGCGCTCCTGGCCGGGGCCTCGCCGCTGCAGCTGAGACCCGTAGGTGTAACCTTCCCCGAAAAAATACTTGTTCCGCAGCGGCGCCCGGTCCACCGTGTGCTCCTTGTAGAGCCCCTTCTCCGCCCGGGACACCACGTCCTCGATGCGCGCCTCGATCTTGGCGCACTCCTCGGCGCTGAAGAGGCGAAGCTGGCGGATGCCGCTCTTCACTTTCCGAGCTTCCTCCTCCTCCTTCTGCTCCTCGTAGTCGCTGGGCTCGGAGCCGGAGTCCTCCTGGTGCCGCCGCTTGCGGTCGTACGGCGCTTCGGGGGGCTCCCGCGGGAGGCCGCCGCTGCCGCCGCCGCCGCCGCCTTTGTGGCCGTCCCGGTAGGGCATCATGGACTTGAGCTTCTCCCGCAGGTCCGTGTAGCCGCTGCCGGCCATGGCGCGTCCGCAGCCCCCGCCTCTATCGATCCCGGCGCTGCAGGCGGCGGCGGGCGGCGGCGGGGGACGCGCAGCTGCTGCTCATGGCACCCGCCGCCCTGCCGGGAGAGAGAGCCCCGCAGGACGGGCAGGTGAGCACGGGATCCCGGTACCGCACCAGCCCCTCTCCCGCCCCCCCCCCGCTCCTCGGACCCCGCTCCCGCCCTCTCCCTCCCGGGGCTGGGGCGGCCCGGCGGACGCCACACTCACGGCTTGGCCCGGGGCGGGCGCGGACAACGTTGCCGGTGCCGGTGCTCACGCGGCGGCAGGGCCTGGCACATTCCCAGCGGCGGAGCCGGACGTCCTGCCCGTTCCCACCGCCGCGGCTCTGCCCATGGCGGGGGTCAACCGGAGGAGGTGCGGGGGGTCCCGTGCCGTGCCGGGGGACGGCGGCGGGCGGGGGTCTGGCGCGGCCCTTCCCGCTACGTCACCAGGAGCCGGCCCGACATCCCGGATCGCCGCGGGGCCGCCCCGCGCCCCGCCGCGCACGCGCCGCCGCCGGCCCCGCCCCCCGCGCGCACGCACGGACAGAGCGCGCGGCCCGGCCCCGCCCCCCCGCGCGCGCCCACCGGCGCCGTTAACCGGCAGCGGCAGCCCCGCCCCGCCCCGCCCCGCGCGGCGCTGATTGGCCCGGGGGGCGGCCGCGAGCGCCGCGGGCCGCCGGCTGATTGGGCGGTTGGAGCGCGCGCGCGCGCGCGCGCGGCGGCGGCGGGGAGGGAGGGGCGCGGAGGTGGCGGCGGGCGCGCGGCGCCCCCCGGCGGACGCGACGGGCGCGACAGGCGGGTGGCAGTGACTGAGCGAGGGAGGGAAACTGAGGCACGGGCGGCATATAGGGGAAGCTGAGGCACCGGGATGGGCAAAGAGACCGGTGGGGGAAACTGAGGCACGGGAATAGGAAACACATGGGTGATCGGTGGGGAATCAGACACGAGGGGCAGCGTGCCCCCTGCAGCAGCGAGCGTAACACAAAACCACGGACACTGAGTCATGCCGGGCTCCTGGGCGTGTATAAAACCCCAGAACAACAGCGGGTTGGTGACAGGGGGACAGCAGCCACTGGCCAAGCTGGGGACACCCCATGGTCACTGCGCCCTCTGTCCCCCTTGCCGGGGGGCCGGGCCATGGCGGGCTCAGAGCAGGGTGATCTCGCTGGGTGGCAGAGTCAGCCTCTTCTCCCGGGCACCCAGCAGCCTCTCCATGTGCGCAGCCACCACGCGGCACAGCTCCAGGCCCTGGAGAGGGACACACAGGTGGGCGGTGGCCGTGCCACCACTGTGAGAGCCCCAGCAGGGCCCCCACAATGTCCCCAGTGTCCCCCGACCTGCTCCAGCTGCAGCTGGGTGATGCCCTGGGCCAGGAGGTCTCCCAGTGTGATCTCCACGTAGGGAGAGCTGGATCCGGCCGCCGGGCGCTGCGTCCGCGTGGACTGGATCTCATTCAGCGAGAACTTGGCGATGAGTTCCTGGGAGGGGGACAGGGGGGTGGCCCGTGTGCCTTGGGAACCCCTCTAAGAGGGTCCCTGGTTTGGACAGGGCTTAGAGCAAACTGGTCTAGTGGAAGGTGGCCCTGCCCATGGCCAGGGGCTGGAACTGGATGAGCTTTAAGGTTTGTTCCAACCCGAGCCATTCCATGATTCCACGTGTCCCACACCTACGTGGGTCTCCTTGCTGAGGAAGTTGAGGCCGTTCTGGTTGACGGCCAGGATACAGGGCGAAACGATGGCGTTGTTGCTGCAGCTCTGGATGTAGAAGAAGGATGAACCAAACATGGGGTAGGCGCTCAGCAGCCCTGCAGGGCAGAGGATGGGGTCTCAGTGCCCACTGCCACCCCCATCTGCTCAGTCCTCAGGGTGGCCTGCACCCAGGAGCAGCCAAGGGGAAAAATGCTTGTCCCATTAGGGGCCTGGAAGCAGCCTGTCCTGCTCTGTCCCGTCCTGCAATCCATCCTGCATTGCAGCACCCCAAGCTCTGTGCAGGGACAAGGGCTGTGTGTCCTAGCAGCATCCCATCCCCATCATCCTCACCCTCCAGGCAGCATCGCATCCCCAGCAGCATTGCATCCTCATTAGCACTATTTCCTCATTAGCACTGCATCCTCTCCCTGTGGATGTCACCTCCCCGTGCCCATGGCTGTCCCCTCACCCAGGAACTGTGCCCTGGCCTGGTGGGCGCTGAGTGCCTGGGCTTGCTGCACGTGCTGGGTCACCATCTGCAGCCAGGACTGGGGCTTCAGCAGGCGGAAGAGCTGCGGGGGGACGTAGTCCTGCATCTCCCGCCTGTGGGGAGCCCGAGGTCAGGCCCAAATCCCACGGGACACGTGTTTCCCCCCCTCCAGGTGCCCCGTCCCCTGCCGTACGCCGTGGGGAGGTGGTGGCGGTCCTTGGCTCGGTGCTGGAGCGCGGCCAGCTTGGCCACGTGCGGGAAGTGCTGCTCTCCCGGCCTCGCCGGCGGCAGGACGGTGAACAGCCCCTTGAGGTAGTCAGGGAGCACCTGGGAGGGGGACAGAGCACAGGGACACGGCTTGGGGACAGGGCACGCTCTGAGGGACACAGGGAGGTGGCCCTGGGGGAGGCTGATGGCGTGGCCCGACCTGGTTGTAGTGGACGGTGACGTAGAGCTCGTTGTCGAACTTGAGGGGCTGGCTCCAGAGCACGCGGCGGCACCAGAAGGTGTAGCTGCTGTCCCGGAGCTCCGTCTCGGCAGCCACGTCCAGCACGTATTCCCGGCGGGTCAGCGGCCGCACGCTCTGCCCTGTGCCACCCAGGAGTCTGAGTATGGCCACCGCCACGCCACCCGCATGGCTGTGCCACCCTGGCTTGTCCTGTCCCGTCCGTCCCGTCCCTGCCAGCTCCTCACCTCTGTCGGTCACCACGAAGAGGATGTATTCCTCCAGAGCCTCTGGGTTCTGCAGCCCCATCTCACAGCACAGCTCCTCGATCACATCCAGAGCCACCTGGGCACAGGGACAGCTGGCTGGGACACTGCCACGTCCCCCTGTTGTGCTCTGGGACACCAGCTTGGCCTGCATTGAGGCTCATCCCAGCGATGATCTGCTTTTGCCAGAGGATGAAGTCCCACAGCGGGGACAGCCAAAGGGTGCAGCCCCCCACATCTGCACCCTCTGGGTGCCCAAAGCTGAGGTGTCACCATAATCTTGGGGTGCACTGAGCATCCTGTCCCCTCTGGCTCACCGAGCACGTCTTGATCTTGAGGTGCCTCTCGATGCCACCGGGCAGGAGAAAGAGCTGACGCTTGGCGCTGCGTCCAGCCTGCATGGGAGGACACGTTGGGGTGCAGGGGGGGCTCTTCACACAGCAAGAACCCACAGAATACCCCAAATCCTGCAGCTATCCCTAAGGAACCATCCCATTGGGATCATCCTGTCTCTTGCCCATCCTGTCCACCTGAACCATCACCCCTCCCCGCACTCCATGTCCACAGAGCTCCATCCCCACTGGGGACCTCTGAAGGCTCAGGGTACCCCCAAAGTGAAGAGCAGACCCTAAGAAGGGCTGTGCTCTCTTGGGAAGACCCCCAAAAAGGATCAGCTCTGTTAAGGGTGCTGTCTGAGGGAGATCCCAAGCCCACAGGGAGAACCTGATCCCATGTGGGTACCCAGAACTTCTGGGGGGGATCTCAAGCTGACACCAGCCCTGTTCCACCCCACGGGCACCCACGAGCCCCTGGCCTCACCACCATGGCTTTGAGCTCCATGCTGCTGGGGAAGAGGCTGCGGCCGCCGAACTGCTGGGTTTTCCTCAGGTTCTGCTCGCAGGCTTTGGCGATGCCTGGCAGGAGCAGGGACCGGGATGAAGGATGGGGCTGAGCTGCCATGCTGGTTCTGTTAGAGCTCCTCCTGAGCTCTGTGACACCTGGGGTGTCCTTTCCCACCATATAGCCAGCACCCCAGGGTGTTCATGGCCCCTACCGTGGAAAGGCAGCTCCGGGTGCCTGCTGGCGTCCTGCAGGAAGGCCAGGAGGAAGGGCCGGAGCACCTCAGAGCACTTGTAGTAGGCAGCGAGGATGTAGAGCAGCCTCCAGCCCCTCTGGCAGCTGTCCCTGTGGGAACGGCCAGGGCTGATCCCCTGAGCAGGGCGAGGGTGCCCGCGGTGGCACCCATCACAGCCCTCTGCAAGGATGAGGTCCCCGGGTCCCCCCCAGGCTGGAGCAGCTTGGCCTGGGCAGGGGTACCAGTGTCCCAGTGCCAGCCTCTGCTGCCCCACAGGTGCAGGGACTCACGGCTTGGAGCTGGTGTTGTTGGTGATCTGCTTGATGATCTGGCAGTACACCTCATCCCGCAGGACCTCGTGCTCCGCACACAGCTGGGGGACAGGCACAGCTGCCACCTCTCTGCCACCCCCTGCCCAGGCCACCCCCAGGACTCACCACCCCAGTGATGGATTTACCTTGAGGATGGTGCAGACGACGTCCAGGTCTGTGTGGCCCCGCAGGGGGTGGTCACCCATGAACTTCATCACGGCTGGGGACAACAAAGCCACACGGTGACACAGGTCAGCATGTCCCTTCCCCAGGGACGTGCTCTCCTGGGTGGGCACGTGGAGAAGTGGGACCAGAGCTAAACTCCCCTAGGACACCTCCTCTGCCCATCCCAGTCCAGCCCCACCCTCCTCCAAGGACTGAGGGACAGGGGGACAGCACACTCGTGCCCCTGCCTACCTTGGAAAGCCTCAGCAGCCAGTTTGTTGAGGCCACCATCCACAAATTCAATGAGCGACTCCTGAATAGGAATCTGGAGCAGGGGGAGAGGACCAGCTCTGGGACCCTGCTGGGACCTCAAAGGGACCTGCAGGTGACAGCAGGACCCCAGAACTCCACTTCCCCATACCTTGGTGAACGTCAGCATCTCCAGCACACTTGGCACCTTCATCCCACGAGAGTCCCTGGCAGAGGAACAAGGGAGCAGGTGGGCACAGCTGTCCCCACCATGGCATGCCCCTGTCCCACCGCTGGACACTCACGTGGTCCCACGTCGTGCCGCACGGAAATGCCGCTGGGCAAAGGCCAGCATGGGACAGGCCCCGGTGACGTCCCTGAGCTGCTCGATACCATCTCCCTCGGGACCCTCCACAAAGGTGGCACTGGCTGGGGACACCTGCGGAGCGGGGCAGTGGGCACCGGGCACAGCCAGCACCGGGGGACAGCCCCGGGCCAGGACCCACCTCGGTTTTGCGGTCCAGCTCCTGGGCGGCAGCTGTGGAGGCCACGGCCACGGCCACGGCCGCCGAAGCCGCCACTTTGCCCTGCTTGTCCCGGGGCTCCTCCTTCCTCTCCGCAGGCAGATGGACAAAGTCGGGTGCTGCCACGGGCTGAACGTACTCGGCAGGGAAGAGCCCTGACCTGCCATGGATGGCCCCAAACTTCCACCCTGTGGCAGAGAGGGTGGGGATGGCCCCAGGCTGACAGCCATGGGGTCAGCCCTAAGATTCTCTACCTGCTCCCTCCTGCCTCTGCACCCCCAGCCCTTTTCAGGGATCTGGCCATGGGTTTTGGTTGGAAGCAGCTGCAGTTTGGCATCACTCAAGGGGAAAGTATAGACCAGGGGCCACAAAACCTGTCACCTGAGGGACATGGGTGGCACGAGGGTGGGACCTTCAGGGGAGCATCTGTGCCAAAAAGACCCCAAACCATCCTGCTGAGGGGTGGCAGAGGCAGGACCCTGCCCCATGCCCCAGACCCAGGAGGGGACACAGCTCAGGGACACACGCAGGGACAGTGTGGCACCCACCAAAATCCTGGGTGCCTGCCTTCAGCTCCTCCAGGTACATCACCTTCTTGCGGACCACGCAGCCATAGTAGTGGTCTGCAGGGACACCGTGGGGACACCATGGGGACATGGGGTGTCACAGGATGCAAGGCAAGCACACAGCCCCACGGGCAGGGCAAGCCAGCAGTCTGCTGCCCCTCTGTCCTCTATCAAAGGCATTCTGGCATTTGGGGGCCTTTGGGGGTTCCTCACCTCTCTCAGGGTGCTCCAGTGACTGCAGGTGGATGATGTCCCCTTTGTGGAAGCTGAGCTGGCTCCCGTCCTCGGGGCTGTAGTTCCTCACGGCCACCACATACTGGGAGTCCTGGGCACAGGGCATCTGGCACAGCTCAGGCACGCAGGGACACCCACACCCCACCCAGCACAGGGACTTCAAGCACCCACAGCCTCAGGACTACTCCCCCAAATCCAGCCATGGTCCCATTCGCAGGGTGCCCTCCTCTGCCCATACCACCTCCCAGGCTCAGGCACACGGGCAGGGTCTGACCCCCAGGACAAACCCCAGGGCACCCCCCACCTTCCTGAGCTCCGTGATGAAGTGGTCGACCATGACCTTGACCTGGGGGGCTTTGGGGGAGAAGAGGATGAGCTTCTCGCCGCGCAGGTTGAACTCCAGCATGTTCCTGGACGGGGTGGTCACGAAGAGCACGTCGGGGTAGCTGGGGCAGGGCGAGGGGAGGCTGAAACACCTGGCATCTGCGGCACCCACAGCACCCACCCCACCCTGGCCACCCCTACCTGTAGGCCCGCAGCACCCGCAGCTGCTCCCCGGGGACATTGGTGCCCTTCACCACCCGCAGCAGCTTGATGCCAGCGTGGGACACAGCCAGGATCTGCACACCCGTCCCCACGCTGCCCTGGGGTCCAGGACAGCACTCAGCCAGGGCACGGCGATGCAGTGCCCCCCACGCTGACCTGCCCCACAGCTGGACCCTCACCGTGGCAGGGAAGAGGCGGGAGAAGTAGACCTCGCAGCCATCCCGGGCTGCAGCAATGATCTCCCTCTTGACGTTCTCGGTGGCCACGGGGCTGAAGGAGTCCAGCTTGTTTTCCGCTGTGGGGATGGGGAAATACCTCCCGTGAGCACCTCCTGCCTGGAGAGGATGTGGAGAGAGCTCCCAACAAAAGCAGGGGTGCTCATGCCCTTCCCATGCCTGGCAGGACCGTGTTGCAGAGACAGAAGCGTGTGCCCCAAGCAGCTGGCCGAGACCTGACACAACTTGTGATGTTGTGGAGCACTAAATTACAAGGGGTCGTTGCTTTTGGAGGCAAAACTACCCAAGGTTAAGCAGAGCCAGTCCTAGCTTTGAGATAGATAGCCAGGAGATGAGGACACGCACAAGAGTGGCTGGGTGTGACCCCCAGGCAGGGAGCAGCAGGACACAGGGTTACCAAAGAGGGATTTCAGGCGGAGCCGCTCCTCGTGGCTGAGCCGGATGCAGGTGTCGGACAGCACATCATTGAAGATCTGGGAAAGGGGGTGAGGAGCAGTGGGGTTGTGTGGGGAGGAGCAAAAATCCCCCCAGCCCCAGCTCGCAACAGCCCCAGCTCCTCCACAGCAGCTCAGGGGAAGGCAGGATGGCCACAGTGGGATGAGGAAATCATCACCCCACTGGGGAATCATCACCCCATCTCCCAGGGGACCCCGGGGGGCTGCGGGGCCAGCTCGGAGCCTCACCTGCCGGAAGATGAGGTCGAGCAGCAGTGGATTGTTGATGCTGTCCTTGGGGTAGAAAACCTGCCAGGAGAGAGACCAGGGCTTGGTGTAAACCGCTTATCCTGGTAGGACCTTGGCACCAACGTGTCCCCAAGCGTCCCCATAATCTGCACCTCCTTCCGGATGAATATTTTCCAGGGCACGTTGTGGTAGGTGTAGAAGTCCTCGCTGCAGCTGCGGTGCAGCTGGGTCTGGACCTGCTGCGCCTCGGATGGGAGCTCCCGTGAGACAAAGACTGTAAAGGGACAGAAAGCCTTGCAATCCCCAGGGGGAACAACCAGCAGCTGCCTTCACCTGGGGAAACTGAGGCACGGGGAGCAGCTCTCTGGCTGAGCCAGACACGGCAGTTATCCCACCAGGCATCAGCCGTGCCACTGGGAGGATGAAGTGCCTCACTCTGCCGTGGTGCCCCCGGTGCCACAGCTCTGCCCAGCAGTACCTGGGGGCTGTGTGGCTGCAGGACGGCCTGTGGGTGCTCGCAGCTGGTACCTGGCACTTGGCACTGGCTTCACCGCAGCCACCACCTCCTTGGGCCCCCCCTGCGAGGCACAGAGGGGCTGTGTTCAGTGCCAGCGACACCCCCAGCCCTGTCGGGGGGATGTGGGGCTGGCCACATCCCTACCCCAGCTGATGGCACCCGGGCTGCTGAGAGCTGCTCCTTCAGGATCTGCATGGCTTCCTCATGGGGGTCCAGCTTCTTCCCAAAGAGCTTGCTGCCGAGAGAGAATCCCACAGCAGCTGAACCCCAGCACCAGCTGCACCCCAGCATTCCCTGTGCCTGAGGCCACCCTGCAGCCCCATCACTTGGGGCACCACATCGTGCCAACACCCTGGAATTCCCTACACCCCGGTGTTCCCTAGATCCCATCCTTCCCTACACCCCATCATTCCCTACACCCCCAGCATTCCCAACACCCCACCATTCCCTGGATCCCATCATTCCCTATACCCCGGCATTCCGTACACCCCATCATTCCCAACACCCCATCATTCCCTATACCCCACCATTCCCTACACCCCACCATTCCCTACATCCCACCATTCCCTACACCCCACCATTCCTTACCCCCCATCATTCCCTACACCCCACCATTCCCTACACCCCACCATTCCCTAGATCCCATCATTCCCTACACTCCAGCATTCCCTACACCCATCATTCCCTACACCCCAGCATTCCTTACACCCCATTGTTCCCTACAACCCTGCATTCCCTACACCCCGTCATTCCCTACACCCCGGCACTACCTACACCCTGGCACTCCCTACACCCTGGCATTCTGTACACCCCATCATTCCCAATACCCCACCATTCCCTACACCCCATCATTCCCAACACCCCATCATTCCCTACACCCCACCATTCCATACACCCTGGGTATCAGGACCAGCAGAAGCCCGTGGCTGGGTTGGGGACCCCGGCGCGCACCTGTGGGGCTGGGAGCCACGCGGGGCTGGCTGGCACTGCCGGATGATGTTGCGGATGTCGTGCGTGGGCCGCGGGAAGTGCTCCGAGTTGAGCCGGGAATGCCGCACCGGCTCTCCCGGCCACCGCCGGCCCACGGCTGCTGCGGAGCCCAGCGCACGGCTCAGGGGCCCTGGCTCAGTGCCACTCGGCCCTGCGCCCACCCCGCGGCACCGGGACCCCTTACCGGCTTTCTGGGAGTAGGGCCGGGGCTGGGGGACACGGGCTGGCGTCCTCTCGGTCGCTCTGCCCTGCAAGGGACACGATGCCATCAACACCTGGCAGCTCCAGCTGCTCCCATCCCCAGGGGCTGCCCCAGAGAGGTGCCCTGAAGCAGAGAAGGGGCTCAACCCCTCCTGGCCCCGTGTGCTGACCAAAGCTCCGGGCTGGTTGGCATCTGCCCGGTGCTGTGGGGATGGGTCTGGCTCTGTGCCTGTGACAGCAAAGAGGAGAGCTCAGTCAGAGCTGTGGGGATCAGACAGGGAAACTGAGGCAGGGGGCTGGCTGGGGATGTGGGAGTGCTCGAGGCGCTCACCCCTCGGCTGACGCGTGTCCGCAGCCACGGGAGGGTCGCTCCGGGTGGCATCAGTGCCACTGCTGCCCCCTCCCACGCCACCTCCTCCCTTCAGCCTCTGCGAGAGGATGGATGGCTTCTCCAGCTCCTGCGGGACAGGGGTCAGGGCACAGCGGCCAAGCCACTTGCACCCCAAAATGCCTCGGGCAGGGACACCCCTCTCACCCCATTGCCGTAGGAGAGCACGGGGTCAAAGAGACTGTCCAGGTACCGGTCCAGACCCTTCTGGCTGCGTGGCTCCCCAAATTCCCCATCTGTGAGGGGACGAGACATGAACACTGGCATGGCAGGGCTTTGTCACAACGCTGGGGGACAGGAGCTGGGGGAACGATGCCCTACCATGGGGGTGATACGCCTCCATGGAGGGCAGTGTGGGGGCTTTCACAGCTGGGGGAGGAGGCACTTCATCCAAATCAAATCCATGTCCCAGCACCCTGCAGAGAGGGAGGATGCACTCATCCAGCACCCGTTGGGTGCCAGGATTCCACTCAGGAGCCCACCCAGCCCTGGCACCCACCCAGCCCGGTGCCAGCGTTCCCCCCACCAGCCCCACCGTGGGGCACCCATCCCTGCCCGGGTACCTACGGCCGGCTGTCCCTGCTGTGGCTCTCGGTGCCATCCCACGCGATGAGGAAGCAGGATTTCTGTCTGGGGAAGCCCCGCAGCAGCTCGAGGTCGGAGACAAGGTCCAGGACATAGTCGTGTCCAGCCAGCTCAGCCCAGTGGGCACCCGCCTTCATAGCCACGGACCAGCCACGCCAGCCCTCCGCCAGCCCTCTGCCAACAGCCAGGCACTGGGGATGGGCTCAGGCTCCACAGGGACACCGTGCCCATGAGCTGGGCATGGGGACACTGAAGACAACCCCAGGTGACACCGTGACCCGTGGGCTGGGTGGGTGCCAAGCCAGCACATACCTGAGCTTCAGGACATCCCCTGCCAGGTCCTCGCCTGTGCTCCAGGAGTGGATGGGGCAGGAGAATTGGTCACCTGGGAGGGGTGGACAATGAGCAGGTGCCACCAGTCCCCCGCGCCCGTGAGGGTGGTCACCCTGGGCCCGACCCTGGCCAGCGCCGTGCCCGGCGCCCCGCTGCCCGCACCGTTGAAGCAGTGCAGGTCCAGGGCCATGCTGGCCTGCCGCCGGTTCGCCGTCCACTCCAGCAGCGAGGGGGGGAAGGTGCGGGCGGCCGCGGTGCCCAGCTGGGAGCGGGCCATGGCGTGCATCAGCTTGCGCTGGCACACCGGCTTGTAGCCGGCGAAGGCGTAGTCAGACACGAACCTGAGGGGAAGGGAGGATGCTGCAGGAGGGATGTGGGCAGGATCATGTGTGCCAGGTTGGGACAGGGGACCACAGAGGGATTAAGAGCATTCCTGGAGGGATTTTGGCAGCATCCTGGGCACGTGTGCCAGGCTGGCCCAAGGCATCTTGGAAGGATCTCAGAGCATCTCTAGTGGGACTTGGACAGTATCCCTGGGCACATGTGCCAGGCTGGCCCTGGGGAATCTAGAGGGACATGGGCACACATGCCAGCTTGGCCAGAGGGATCCTGAAGGGACCTCAGAGCATTCCCAGCAGGACTTGGCCATGTGTGCCAGGCTGGCCCAAGCAATCGTGGAGGAACCAGTTGGGGTTTAGGCAGCATCCTTAGCCACAGGTGCCAGGAGAGCTCTGATGCTCCCAGGCATGAGCACCAGTCTATTCCTGAGGGTCCCAGCCATGCCCACTCCCCATCCCAGAGCCCATCCCCAGCTCACTTGAGCAGGTACTTGTCGAAGGCGGCGGACGGGGGGAAGGCGCTGAGGCAGGCGGCCAGCAGCAGCCAGCCCCGCTCCTCGTTGTTGACGTTGGTGTTCCTCCACACCTGGTTGGCAGCTTGTGCCAGGAGCTCGTCCCGCAGCCCCGGCACCGACAGCCCCTTCTGCACGATGTAGTTGCCAAAGAGGGTCTCCTGCTTGCCACCCAGCCCCGGGTCCCCCATGAACCGCAGGATCTGCCACAGGGACAGCCAGGTCCTCCCTCTGACCCTGGGCACAGAGCGGGGGCTGTGGTGATGGATCCCGTGCCATCCCACCTACCAGCTGGAAGAGGCTGAGAGCCTCGTGGCACAGCTCCTCATCCAGCCGGGTGAGGGGGGCTTTCAGTGGGGCTGTCAGCATCCCAAATGCAGGTTCCTGCGGTGACACCCGCACCCGTGGCTACCTGGGCACTGCCTCAGGCCACAAGGGGCTGGCCCCATGGTGCTGATGCTGGGTGGAGCCTGGGGGGGCTGCCGGAGGGCTGGGGTGAAGGATGGGGCCAGCATCGTCCTGGGAGTGGGGCTGGGAGGGGCTCAGGCTGTGCTGGCAGCACCAGAGATGGGTGGTGAGGCCCTGGCACAGATTGCCCAGAAAAGCTGTGACTGCCCCATCCATGGAAACGTTCAAGGCCAGGTTGGACAGGGTTTGCAACAAGCTGGTCTAGTGGAAGTCGTCCCTGCCCATGGCAGGGGGTGGAACTGGATGTTTTTTAAGTCCCTCCCAACCCAAACCATTCTGTGGTTCCGTGGCAGCACTTTGGCAAGGCTGAGAGCCTTATCCAGCCCCGGTGCTGTCATTCAGGATGCCGGGGACTGGGAAATACGGGTCAAAAATAGGGATGAGGAAGAGGAACGGGGCAAAGTGACGGTGGGTGGGGCCGGGGTCCCGGGAGCAAAGCGACCTGGTCTCCCGCCCCAGCGTTCCGGATCCGCCCCGCGCCGGGCGTCCAGGAGGGCTCAGCGGGTCTCTCTCCGATAACCTCAGCAGGGTCCCCCCGGCCTCTGGAGACGACAGGAACCCACGGGGAGGGAGGGAGGTGGCAGCCAGCTCCCCGCAGCACCACAGCCACCCCGGTTCCAGCCTCTCTTGCTACCCGTGGTGTCCCCGGGGTGGGAGCCGGGGCAGAGCCCGGTGGGACAGTGCGGGGAGCCACCACGGGGACCCTGAACCTCAGCGCTGCACCACGACCGGGGTGCCAGGGACTCCCCAAAAGCTGTCTGCCCGTCGGGAAAAGCTCCCCGCTGCCGGGCCGCGGCGCCCACCTTACCTGGAAGTGGCCCCGCACGTACTTGGCCATGGGGTAGTCGTTGATGTCGAGCGGGAGGGTGAGCTGGGGGTCGGGCTGCAGCGCCGGCGGCGGCACCAGCACCACGCAGCCGGCGTTCACCTCCCGAGCGGCTGCGGCACAGCGGGGAGCTACGGCACGGCCGCCGGGAGGGGAGCGAGGGGCTGGGAGCGACGGCGGTGCGGGACCCGCTCACCTGCAGCGGCCTCCAGCAGCCCCATCAGCTCGGCCGGGATCTCCAGGTGGGTGACATCCACCACCTCCCTCCGCGTCAGCTCCTGCCGCCGCAGCGCAGGGATGTGCCCACCTGCCCCGCTGGTCCCTGCCCCGGCACCCGCGGGTGCCGCGGCCAGGATGGGATGGGCAGGGAGGAGGGCACACGGGCTGCTCAAGCATCGCACGTGTGCTCCCACCACCGGGGCCGCACATCTTTACCTGCTTCATCCTCTCCTTCTCCTCCTCGGCGCGCCGGCGAGCATCCTCCTTCCTCTGCAAGCAGAGCAGCCATGCTGAGCCCCTCAGGAGGAAGGGAGACCCTGAGGCACCACGGCACCCTGGGTTGCCATTGACCCCTCCCCAGTATCAGCAGTGTTTTCACCCCAAAAAGGCACTGCCCATACCCAGTGGGACACGGAGGAGGTGGTAGGGTGGCACATGGTGGGGTTCACAGCCTGGGGATGCCGCTGTGTCCTCTCCAGGCTGAACATGCAGCAGGGTGGCAGCAGGTCCCCTGGAGCCCCTGGGATGTGACAGGCCCCACCTCACCTTGAGGTACCTCCGGCGGTTCACGTAGATGTGCACCAGCGACCTGAACTTGATGAGCGTGTGCCGCATGCGCCGGTACCGCTGCCTGCAGGAGGGCACCTGTCACCCTCTGCCACCCACCCGTGCCCGCCTGCCACCCCCAGGGACCCCCACCTGGCTAGGTATCCCCGCGCCCGGCTCTGCAGGAGGATGATCTTGCGGCGGAGGGAGCGGAAGCGCCGCTTGATGAAGAAGGTGCGAGCGTAGCGCTGGAGCGTGAGCGCGGCCAGGTGATGGGCTCGGCATCTCTTGCTCTCCAGCGCCTGGTACAGCTGCTCCTTCAGGAAGAGCTGGGAGCAGGGGTGAGGCCATCAGCTCCACCACCTTGGCCACCACCGCCAGGGCATGACCAGAGCCAAGCCCCCTCCTGGGACAGTACCTTGGTGACACCGACGTAGTACATGCTGGGGTTAACGGGGCAGAGGCTCCTCAGCATCTCCACACAGTTGGCTCCATTGGGAATGACATTGGACCACATATCAACGAGGCAGCGATACCTGGGTGAGCCCATGACACTGTCACCACACAAGACCACGCTGGGACACCAGCACAGACCCTCCCTGTGTGTGACAAACACTGCGCCTGGAGATGCAGCTTCTCTCAGAGCTGTGTGTTAACACGAGGGGGTTCCCAGGTCCCACTGTGGGGGAACCCCAGCCCAAACGCTGCCCCCAAAACATCCACAGCTTCTGTGGTGTCGCCTGGCTGGGATGGCAGTGCCCAGCCTGCAGCCCCCGGGCACCTGTCGATGAAGACGAGGAAGGGGATGCGGATAGGGTAGCCCTCCTTGCGGATGCGGATGGTCTCCAGGATCCCCGAGTACCGCAGCTGGGTCTTGACCACGTCAGCCTCAAAGAGCCCCGGCTCCTGAGGCAGGGATGGGGAGAAGCATCAGCAACTGCCTGGGCAAACCCCCACCCCATGTGCCCACACACTCCCAGTGCCAGCGGGGCGGGTAGCATGGGCACCAGCAGAGGCAGGAGAGCCCCAGCTCTCACCTTCTTGTTGTTTGGCTTGATGCAGCGCACAAAGAAGGGGTTGCACCTGTGACACAGAGACCCTGTCAGCCACAGGGAACAGGAGACAAAGCCAGCCCAGGCACCTTGGGCTCAGGTCCAGCTCCCAACAGCCCAGAGGACGGCCTGGCTGCCCACCCTGCCCACACTGACCTCTCCATCCTCTCCACTAGCTCCAGGAGCGACTGCTGGAAGCGTGCGGCCACGGTAGGAGCCTTGTACCGCCGTGTCCTGGTGCTGCTCCTCCTGATGAGGCTCCTCTGCCGGGCCATCACCTGGGCGTGGCCGAAGAAGAGGTTGGCCACCACCTTGGGGAGACAGGAAAGGTTAGAGAGGAGGAAGGTGGCCGGGATGGTGCAGCTCTCCCACAGCCTCTTCACAGCCCGGCCGGTCCTCTTTTGCCCAGCCCTAATTGTGGCAGGATTGCCTGGGTAGGGATGGGGATGAGGATATGGGTAATACAAAGCACAGGAGCAGCCCATGTGCCTGTTTCTGCCAAATGCTTGAGGGGTCAAAGCCCAGAAGATCCCATGGGTGGAACCAGAGGCATTCTCTGATTCTGGTCCCCCTGAGCTTTACTGGCCATGGGGACACGCTTGGGGACATGGAAAGGGATGTATGGAAGGGGGCTATTGATGCCCAGTGTCACTGCAGAGCCAGCACCAGGCAGGGCCCTACCTTGGTCCTGCTGCTGATGAACAGGTCCAGCACATCCTGACGGACCTGGTCATAGTTTTTATCCAAAAACTTGTGAACCTGGCAAATAGCAAAACCTCAGGGTGAGGAGCCTGGCAGGATGACAGGGTGAGGCAAGGAGCTCCAGGATCCCAGCCAGACCCTCAGAGATGCATTTCTCTCCTTGGTGCAGGATCAACCTCCTCTTTAACCCGCCTTAACGTCCCTGCTGGACATCCCGATGTCACACACCTGGTAGGTCACTTTCCCTGCATAGTGCTTGATGGTGAACTCGGGCAGTGGCATCTTCGGCTTCGTGTAGAGCGGGTTTGTCCCGTGGTGGTAGTGACACTTCTGGAGGAACGTGTGGTCTGTGGCCTGGGAAGGAACATAGGAGTGGCACACGGCTCAGGCGATTCAGCAGCAGCTTGGAGCCAGGTGATCTCCAAGGTCCTTTCCAACCCAAGCCATTCGGTGATTCCATGATGTTCCTATGATTCTCTAGGCTTATCTCTGGAGGAACCTGGGGGTTTCCCAGGTTGACCAGGACAGCCGAGGAGAAGAGCAGCCCTGGGCCATGGTGATTCCTCAGCCACAGTGACATCCCAGTGCTGGCTGCACCTCACCACCAGGCAGCCCCTCACCTGGGGGAAGCAGCTCTGGTCATCCAGGATCCGGAGGATGCCGTAGGGTTTTTGGGAGATGAGGTCAATGCAGGGCTGGTTGTCACTGAAGGGGATCTCCTTCCACTCGATCTGCTCCCGGATGTACTCCTCCTGCAGGGTGGGCACCAGGTCAGCCCTGCGCCCCCAGCCCCACAGCAGTGTCCAGCACTGGGGCAGAGCCCAGCACTGCCCACCAGCCCCACCTGCTCCTCCTGGAACACAATCCTGTTGAAGAAGAACTGCAGATACTCGTTGGCGTAGTTGATGCACAGCTGCTCAAAGCTGTTGAAGTTGAGGTCCTGCAAGAAGGAAGATCCATGGAGCCTGGGGGGATGGAGCTGGGATTGAGCCAGGATGGAGGTGGGATGAATCCTGCTCACCTCAAAGCCGTAGATGTCCAGGATGGCGATGGAAAGGGCCTCCTGCCGCGGGTACACCAGCTTGTTGATGCGGTCCGTGAGCCAGCTGAAGAGCAGGGAGTAGAGGGTCTTGGCAATGGCATCCCTGGGAAGGGGAGAGATGTGCAGAGTGCTGGAGCTCTGGAATGGCACCAGTGTACTCCACCGCCACAGCCAGCACCCACCACAGCATCGGTTTTGATCACCACACTGGGGGACCTGATCATCCCCTTTCCCAGCTGGCATTTCACATCCCACACCACCCCTGGGGGTCACACCCCCTCATACCCTCCTGCAGTGCTGCCCCCAGTCCCTCTACCTGGCATCCACGGCGCTTTCAACAGTCAGAGGGGTAAAAATCTTCTCCCGCTGCGTTTCCTGGTTGGGAGATGGCACGATGGGGCTTCAGCAACGTCAGCCCAGGTGGTCCCTGGGGCCTAGAGACCCCCTCCCAGCCTGTGCCTCCCTGCACTCACCGTCACCTTGAAGGTGATGGCTTTCTGCAGGCCCTCGGGGGACACCTGCAGCAGCTCAGCCACCGTCCGGATCTCCGTGGCGCTCACCACCGTGGCGACCTCCTGGCAGTCGGTCTGCAGGACACGGCGGTGCCGTGGCATCGGTGAGCCCCCGTTTGCCACATCCCAAATCTCGCCCGATGAGCGCAGCTTGGCTCCCCGCGCGGGGTACCTCGTATTTCTCAAAGTAGACGTTGCCCAGGTGGAGGACGGAGGAGAGGATGCGGAAGATGCTGTTCTGCTCGTCCACGCTGAAGTTCAGCACCTCCATGGTGTTGAGCAGCCGGCGGAAATCCTCGGCGTCGTCCTTGCCGGGAATCTCGCAGTTCCCACCCTGGCACAACCCCCTCAGTCCATCGGTGGGTCCCGAGGGGGTCAGCACCCAGCATGGAGGGTCACCCTGCCCTGGGCATCCTCATCCACTCATTGAGGACTCGGGAACCCACCAGCCCCCCAAAAATCAGGCCGTGGGAGGCCGGGGAGGGGACACACTACCTGGTTCAGGTAGTAGTAGGTCTCGGCGCCCTGCAGGCAGTACCTCTGCCGCTGCTGGGATGGCAGCCCTGCCAGCATCTCGTAGAAGATGTGGTAGTTGCGCTCGCTCTTGGCCTGGAGAGCAGAGGACAGGGCTGGGGAGGGGGTGGCAGAGGGGGCAGAGTGGGGGGCAGAGGCCAGGACCCCCTCACCACACACCTGGAAGACCACGCGGGACTTCTCCAGCAGGTACTGCGAGGTTATGGCACCGCAGATCAAGCCGCTGCAGGGGTGAGAGTGGGCACCTGGCTGGCAACCTCGGTGTGGGCAGGGCTGTGGCCCCCCAAAACACCCACCCATGCCTCAGATGTCCCTGGCTGTGCCCAGGGGTGATATCGGGCACCCTCTGCCAGGATCAGTGGGGCCAAGAGAGGACAGGATGGGATATGAGGACAGGGGTGGGGATTGGGAATGATAAAAGTGCCAGGCAGGTCACAGCATCCCTGCCCCTACCCCAGGGACAGCCAGGTGTCCTCAGGTGCCATCACCCTTCCAACATCAGGTTTGTCCCAAAAACATCCTTATGTGTCCTCCCAGAGCCAAGGGACAAGGGGCTGGCTCGGGCTGGACACCCCTGGGGCAGCAGGGGACGTGGGGTGGGAGCAGTCACACACAGGTTACTCAGCATTACTTACTCCTCCAGGAAGATTTCCACAAATTTCCCAAACCTGCTGGAATTGTCATTCCTCACGGTTTTGGCGTTGCCGAAGGATTCCAGCAAAGGAGTCGCCTCCAGGATCTGTCATGGTGATGGGGAAAGCTGGGGGTGAGCCTGGGCACCCAACACACCATGGGGCAACTCCAAGGTTGAGGCCCCCCCTTTGACCCCCTGTCACCCTCCCTTCCACCCCATGTTCCACCCACACACCCGTGGGTGCCCAGATTTGGGGTGTGCACCACAGCCAGGTTAAATGAGGATATAAGAGAGCACAGAGACTCCATCTCTGTGCTTGCACTGATTTCCTGCTGTCCCTCCCACCTTTCCCCTCCAGCTGGGGTGCCATGGCCAAGGTGCCACCATGATTCTCTGTCCCCCTGACCCATCCTAGCCCACGTGTCCCCTTGGTACCTCTATCTGCCGTGGTCCAGGTGGAAGCATTGGGACAAGGAGAGAGCAGCAGAGCCATGAGGAGGGATGGAAAAGAGCACTTGGAGGTGGGAGAAGATGGTGGGGGCACGGGGACTCAGGGATGTCCCCAGGGCAGCAGCCTACCTGTGGGGCAGTGCTGCGTTTCTGGCTGACAGCTGCCAGGTAGCTCAGGATCAGCTTGGTGGCTTCGGTCTTCCCTGAGCCGCTCTCCCCACTGAAACACAGAGCAGGGGCATGGCTGGGGCCATCGCCAGCCGAGCAAGGGGCGCCCACCCCAAAGCCCCCTCAGCACCCCATCCCCGGAACCAAGCCAGGCTGGTGGCAGCGACCCAGCAATTAGGGTGGCGTTGATTAGGGGCTGTGCATGGGGACAGCCGTGTCCCACCTGATGACGATACACTGGTTGTGTTTGGCATCCATCACTTTGGAGTAGGCGACGTTCGCGATGGCAAAGAGATGCCTGGGGTGGGCAGAAGCAGGGGCTGGGAGGTGCCACGCTGGCCCAGCACAGGGACCCCCAAAATCAGCACGGGGACCCCCCAAAGTGCCCCGAGCATCCCCATGCACAGACACAGCTGCTCCAGCACCCACGGACCCAGGGATCCGAGGGTGGGGGATGGAGGGTGGGAGTGAGCCCATCCCCACAGGGTGTTTGGGGACAGCTTGGTACTCACGGTGGGTTTTCACCCAGGGCTCTGCCCTCATACTGCAGCACCTGCTCCTTGCCGTAGATGTTGTAGAGCCGGTACGGGTTCACCGACACCAGGATGCTGCCGATGTAGGTCTGCCAGAGAGAGAGTCCACACTGGCTCGAGAGGTCCTGGCTGCAAGCCCTCAGAGGGGGGTGACTCCCCAAAGACCCCACCCCATCTTTGGGGGATGCTGTGTCCACCCTAAGCTTACGTAGATGAGCTGGCGCTCGAACCGTGTCCGGATGTTGCTGAGCACTGCAGCCTCCTGGAGGTCCCTGCGTGGAGCAGAGGCTGAATTAGGGGGTGACAGAGGGACAAGGGAGTGTCTGCTGTGCCCAGAGTGCCTCAGCATCTCCAGGCCCGGGAGGCTGAAGCAGAGCCCATATTGGGATGAGATGGGGTGGGATAGCAGGGTCGGGGGTATAGGGTTGGGGGCTGCAGCCCCATTGTCCCCCACAGCACTGAGTCACGGTGCAGGGGACAGGGACACTCACTCCAGCTGGGTCATGTCCTCCAGCCCGTCCTCCTCCTGTGGCTCCTGGTACCGCACGATGGGCAGGCTGCACAGCGACTGCATCTGCATGGAACAACCACCCCATCATGGCAGGGGTGTGCCAACACCCTCAGATGTCCCACCCAGTCATCACCAGCACCCCAAAACGCCATCTGTGACCCCACACCAGGGAACACGCAGCAGCATTGGAACCCCAGGAAAACACCCCACAGCTCCAAAACAGCAAGAGCATTGTGTGTCAGGTGAGAGCAGCAGTGCTGGAACACAGAAACACGAGGCCACCTTGGGGCTGGTCCCAGGAAAACCTGCTCCTGGGAATCCCGGTCCCGCTCACCGTGGGCATCACCTTCGGTGGAGGTGATGGAAGGGGGCTGAGGCTGCTTCCCCCGGCCACGCGCAGGGGTGACACAGGACAGGTGTCACTCGGGAGCCTGCACTGGCGCCCGGCCAGGGGGTGGGCAGGAAAGCGGACACCCCGCCGGGTCACCGTGCCGCCTGCAGCCGGCCCCGCCGGATCGGGTCTCTGCATTTCCATACGCCAGAATCAAGTGTCCCCAGAGGGGCCGCTCGTGGGGGGGACACACAACGGGTGATGATCCCCTCTTGCACTCTGCTCCCCACTGGAGGACCCTCACCAGCACCCAGACCCCCCACAGCCATTCACCCCCACCGTGTGCACTGCAAACCCCTCCGCACCGGGAGAGCCATCGGGCACCTCAGCTCGCCTCCCTGCCCCGGGTCCCGCCGGCTGCCAGCTCACCCCCGGCTCCATCCCCCGAGGGGGCTCCCCGCGGGCGTTACCTTGCTGCGCCAGGGCTGCTTGCTGCCCAGGTACCCGTCCGCCCAGGGGTGCCTGTCCCGCCAGCCGCCCGCCGGCGGGCGCTGGCACAGGTATCGGGCGATGTCGGCTCCCCACTGGCCCGCCCACCGCCGGCCGCGCTGGGTGGGCTGCTGGGGGAGGCCCTGCTCGGCTGTCCAGGCGTCGGGCATCTCCCGCACCCTCACGACGTGCTGCGTGGACCAGTGCTGCTTGTACATGCGGGATGCGCGGCGGAAGGAGCCCAACCTCTGCACCTGCGGCGTCACCACCGCGTAGCGCCCCGCGCCCTCCTCCGCGGCCGCCCCGCCGCCCTCCATCGGCTCCGCCGGCCCCGGGGGACGAGAGCCGTGCCGGGAGACGGCCGGAGAGCCGGGGGCTCGCCCGTGGGGTGGTGGGAAAGCGGCACGACGGGGCGGTGAGGGGCTCCGGTTGCCACGGGCGTTGGAGGGGAGGATGGGGCGCCCGCCGTCGGCCCAGCCCCGGCGCCCCGAGGGTGGGCTCGGGGACCGGCGGGTGCTCCCGTCCCGCCGGGATGGGCGCCGGGGCAAGGAGGGCGAGCGAGTGGAGGGAAGGCGGCTGGGGGGTGAGGATGAGGGGGTTTTGGTGGGGGCTATGCTCCTTACGAGCAGAGAAGCCAGGGACTGCGCCATGGAGCGCCCCTTGGAGAGGCTGCGGCCCCCCACTTCAGCAGATGGCCTCGGGGGTGGGGAGTGGGGGGCCATCCCGGCAAGGGGCTGCCCGATGCGCTGGATGAAACTTTTGGGGGTGCTGGGAGCGGGGCTGGGCGGAGGGGGCACGCCGGCGGGACCCCGCGGGGCGCCCTGCCAGGGGGGCAGCTCCTCATCCCAGGAGGGGCCGGGGGCGCCGAGGCGGCGGCTGCCGGGGCGGGACGGCGGTGCTCGGAAGGGAGTCCTCTGCAGCGGCTTCACCGCCTTGGTGGGGGGCTCGGGAAGCCGGGGCCAGGCCTGGGGGAGCGGCAGCCCGGGGGGGCTGCTCCGGCGCGATGCCAGGGGTCTCCCCGCCGCGGGCCCCCCCAGCCGCCTCCCCCCCGGCCCCGGGGAGCGGGGAGCGGGCGGAGGCGGGGTGGGGGACTCGGGGCCGAAGCGCCGGAGGCTGGCACCGAGGGAGGGGGATCGCCGCGGCCCCTCGGCCCGCGTGCTGCCGGGGCGCGGGCGGACGGGCGGCGGCGACGAGGAGCGCCCGGCGTTGGCGAAGGGGTTACGGAGCGACGGCCGGCGCGCAGCCCCCGGCTCCCGGGGAGGGGGCTGCCCCCAGGGCCCCGCCGGCGGGGAGGAGTCCCGGTCCCCCAAAGCGGCGCTCTCCATGCCCGCCAGCCTGCGGCTGGAGAGCCTGTAGGAGGGCTGGGGGGTGCGGGAGCCCCGAAATCCCCCGGCACCTCGCGGCGGACGGCTGGCAGGAATCGAGAGGGATCGCTGGAGGAACTGCCCCAGAGGGCTCCCGCACGCCCGCGCTGCCGAAACCGGGCGTCCCGGGGATGCCGCGGGGCTGGGGGCTGCCGGAGGCGGCGGCGGCTCGTACTCGTCGTAGTCGTCCTCGTCACGGGCGGCGGGAAGGTGGGGGGACGGCGGGAGGGGGACGTCCAGGCGGTCCCTGCCGAAAAGCTTGACCTGGGGTCGGGGGAAGAGCCTGAATTTCCTGTTGAGCGAGAGCTTGGAGGAGAGCGTCTCCCGCATGCCCCGGAGCGAGGAGCCGCTCAGGATGGAAAATGGATACTCCTTCTCTTCTTCCTCCTCTTCTTCCCACTCCTCGGGCTCCTCGCCCTCAGCTATCTCCTCCAGGCCCAGGGCGTAGGGGTTGCAGGAGGATTGGGCGTGGGGCGCCCACCCCCCCTCGCTGTACTGGATGCGATGCTCGGGGTACTCGCCCCCAGGGTACCCCCTGGCAAAGGGCTCCCCAAAGTCCTCGTAGGGGTCCCCCCTGTAGCCAAAGGGCCCCGCTGCCTCCTCACCATACTCTGGGTCGCTGCTGTACGGGTCATAGAGGCTGAGGGGAGAGCCACCACCAAACTGTCCCTCGTCCTCGAGCTCCGAGTCGCCGTAGGGGTGCCCTGGCTGGTCACCATCCTCCCAAAACCCCCCGTAGTAGTCATACTCCTCCTCTGTCTCATAGCCAGGGTAGTCAGAGTAGGGGGTCACCGCATCCTCAAAGCCGTACCCTGCTGGGTAGGCTGGGCTCTGCATGTAGCCGTCCTCCTCCTCGGAGTAGTTGTGCCGGGGGCTGTAGGCTCCATCCTCCTCCCTGCTGTAGCCATGCCAGGGGCCGTAGGCTCCATCCTCCTCGGCGTAGCCATGCTGGGGGCCGTAGCCTCCATCTTCCTCCTTGGGGTGACTGCGCCAGGGCCCATAGGCTCCATCCTCCTTCCTGGCATAACCACGGCGGGAACTGTAGGCTCCATCCTCCTTGCCGTAGCCTCGCCGGCGGCCGTAGGCTCCGTTCTCCTCCTCGGCCCAGCCGTAGCGCGGCACCGGCGGCTCCGCGGCCGCGCGCTGGGAGCGCCGCCGGGACGGCCGCCTCGCCATGCTGCCCTGCCGCGAAGTGCCGGGCGCCGGCAGCCCGACACCGCCAGGGATCCGCTTCATGTTGGCCCGGTGCCTGAGGATCTCGTCTTCCGCGGGGAACGGCAGCTTCTTGGCACCGATACGGGACAGCCAGGCCGTGTCAGTCGCCCGGCTGCCCCCCACCAGCCGCCCGCGCCGGGAGAGCACCTTCCTGGCCAGCCAGCCCGTGGCTGCGGCCGCCTTGCTCAGCACCTGCGCCCGGGGCTTGAATTTCCTTTCCGGGCGCCGGCGGAAGAGCAACGCGCCGTCCTCGGGGTCCTGCCCGCCCTGCCGCAGCAGCAGGAAGGATGGCCTCGATGGTGACTCCTTCTTGGCCTCCTCCTTGGCCTCCTCCTTCCTTTTCTTGCCCACCTGCTTGAAGCGCATCATCAGGTTGGAGGTGGACTTCAGCACTGCCTTGTTCTTCTTTTTCTTCCTCTTCTTGGTGCTGTGCTTATGCAGGCCCCAGAAGAAGCGGGATGTGTTCTTGAACTGCCCCTTCTTGGGCCGACGCAGGCCCAGGTTCTTGAAGCCCAGGAAGAGCTTGGAGGTGCTGCGGAGGCTCCGCTTTGCCCGGGCCTTCGGAGGTGCTGCTGCCTCCTCCTCGGCTGGGCTGGCTTCCACAGAATCTTTGGGCTGGCCCTTGGCCTCTGCACCCTTGGCCCCTTTCTTCTTCTTGTCGGTTGCCAGCCCCATCATCAGCTTGGAGGTGCCCTTCGTGTTCTTCTTGGCTGCTGCAGCATTGCTCTCACCCTCCTCTTCCTCCGTCTCTTGCTGCGCCTTCTTCCCACGGCCCAGTTTCTTTGCCACTCCTGCCTTGGGCAACCCCTTCTTCTCCTTCCCCTTCCCTTTCTTGGGCTCCTCTGCAGCCACTTCCTCCTCATCCTTCTCCTTTTCCACCTCGTTTTCCTCTTCCTTTTCCTCCTTTTCTTCCTTTTCCTCCTCCACCACTTCCGTCTCCTCGCTCTCCTCTGCCTTCAGCAGCTCCGCATCCGAGGCATCCTCCGACTCGTTGGGATCCTCCTTCTTGCCCTTCTTGCCATCCTTCCCTTTCCCTTTGCCCGCCTTCCCTTTGGGCTCCCCCTTCTTGCCGGCCATGCTGGCGGCGGCGGCCGCTCATGCTCCGGCCCCGGCGGGGCGCTGGGAGGTGATGCCCTGTGCCGGCAGGAGCCTGCTCCCGGCCCGGCGGCCGGCTCCGGACCCCGCCGCCTGCCCCGCCCGCCTATTTACCTGTGCCCGGGTCTGGCGAGGCACATGCCCGTGCGCGGCTCCCTCGGGCGCCGGTGGCAGCCCGCTGGGCATGGCGCTGGGGCGCTGGGAGCCGGCCCGGGGCAGCCCGGCGGAGCTGCTCCTGCCTCCCGCGCACCCCGCGAGTCGGCGGCGCGGTGCCGGTGCCTCGGATCCGGCTGTAACCCAACCGCCGGGCTTGCGGTGGCATGAATAATGTAAGGGATGCACCACGCCAGCCCCGAGACTTTTCCGAAGGAGCAGCGAAGGGCTCTTGCTGCTGGGAGCATCCCCCCAGGGGAACGCTGCAGGGGCAGCATCGTTACCCCAAAACGGGACTTTGCCACCTCCCCACGCCTCAGGGCTTGCTCTGCCCCTCCTTGAGGAATCAGCCTCTTCCTCCAGTCAGCACAGAGACGGGTGAAGCCCGGGGATCCCTGAAACCGAACGGCGGCGCTAAAAGAGAGGTGGCAATTCTGCAGAGCCCAAGGCAGCAGCGGGAACACACCCAAGGGGACCCAACACAGACCAAATTCCACAGCCGCGCTGGGAAGCACTGAGGAGCCCAGAGCCTTCAGGGCACTCCTCTTCCATGCCAGGCAGCAGATATGTTCGGGGTGCCACACGTGCCCACACACAGCTGGCAATGGGGGGTGCGTGTGCCACACGTGTGGCCCGTGGCAGTGCCAGCAGCGTGTTTGCACACACACGTGCCCAGGCGTGGGGTGACCGCATCAAATGTTAATGGCAGGCCTGGATTCCTGCAGCTCATCAAAGTTTAAGCAGCAGCAGCGGGAACTCGCTGTCCCACATGGATCAGTGCACGCTGCAGTGGGGCTGGTGTGGGCAGGGGCAGCACCCGCTGCACCCCCCCTTACAGGGGATTTGTTTGGGTGAGAGAGAAGCATCCAGCTGTGCAGCAGCTGGCAGAACCAAAGAACTGGCAGCAGTTGCTGGACTGAACCCACTGGTCTCCCCCAGGATCAGAAGAGCTCAAGGCTGGCACCTCCAGGCATTGTGCTGTCCCCAGCCTTGTCCCTCCCTGCCAGATCTACAGAGGAGCACCATCCACCACGATCCCATAGCTTTGCCTACTCCCTGCATTAATTTCTGGGATAGACACATCCTGGTCTGCACAGATGGAGGCAGCTCTGGAGTGCAGGGCGGGCAGAGGGGCAGAGTGGGATGAGAGGCACCTGGCAGGCATCAGGAGAGGGTCTGTGACAGAAACACAGGATCAGCAGAGCCCCGCCCGGCACTGTCACAGCCCATGCCCAGGTGTGCAATGGCCACCGAGCCATATGGGGCTGACAGAGCCTGCCCTGCCAGGGGCACAGGCACCTGCCACACAGCACCACCCACCCTCCTCCTGGCATGGGCACACAGAGCCCGGGCACCACGATGTGGCAGGGAACCACCTCGGGCAGGGACACAGCCCTTCTCTCTGTGCTGGCAGAGAGCAAAGGGGTACCCAGCTGGGGAAAAGCTGGTGCAGGTCAGTCCCTGCATCCCACCACTCATGCAGTCCTTGCCACCAGCACACTGCCCTCCACGGTCCCCATCTCTGTCCCCCCAGGCAGGACAGCCCCGGCAGTGCTCTCAGAGCTCTGGCACAGCTCCCGTGCTGTTGCCATGGCTGTGCCCATGGTGCCTCCCTGCCCATGACAAGGGCTCTCTGAGAGGGGGAATAAAGGGAGAGGGAGGGGCCTCATCCCACACAGTTGCTGCCTTCCATGGTCCCGGCCTCCATACCAGACCCCAAAACGCCTCCCCATGTTCTTCATCCTGGTTCACCTGCCTTTGGCACGGCAGAGCTGGCCAAGAGGCTTTTGTGCCCAGGTGCAGTGGGATGGAAGCAAAGCAGGGGGGGTTGGAGGGGCACCCACATCTGGTGGCTGTTTCCAGGGTGTCTGGGCAGGGCTGCGTCCAGCAGCAATGCACAGGAGGGACCCTGGGTGCAAAACCTGGCAGTGAGGGGTCTCTGTGGTGGCAATGGGTGCCAAGGCTGTGGCAGAAGATACCCAGAGCATCCTTTGGTTGGGTGAGTCCTGAATGTCTCCAGCCACGTGGGTGAAGCAGGGAAAGCCACCTCACCCCGGGGACACGGCCCGGGGCAGCCTGCGGCTGTGCCACGGCCGGATGCAGGGAGGGGATGGAGACTTTGGCCTCGGGGTTCTCCCGCCCCAGCCCGGCAGGACTGTACCTTCGGCGTGCCGGCACCGGCGGGCAGAGCTCCAGAGGCAGCAGCTCCACGTCTCCAGGCAGGTCTGCGGTCACCAGCCGGCCCCGGGTTCGCTTACAGCCTGTTTCCAGTTACAGCCGGAGCGGGGCTCTGTGCCACCACACCACACCACGCCACGCCACGCCGGCCCTGGCACTGCCGTGCCTCCCAGGAGCCCCACGCTCTGGCACCACGGAGCCAGCCCAGGCACCTCCTGGCTGCAGCAGCACCTCTCAGCACATCTCTGCCTTCAGTTCTGCATCACTGCACATCCACTCTCAAACACCTGTGAGCAGGGGAGGAAGCCCAGCCACAGCTCTTGTCGCTCCAGTCACAGCTCCAGGGATGCTGGGAGCATAGGGAAAAGCTGGACCCTTCCAGCAGTGTGACAGTGGCACAGCCCTCCAAGCCCCCGAGGCACAGTGGGGTCTTTCCTTGCTCCCCCAAGCACACATCACCCCCCTGACCTGGCTAATTTCCACCCCCTCCAGCTCCTGCCTCCAAAATGAGGATGAGGGCCCAGCACACGAGCAATGCATGACAATCCCTGCCTGCCAGCTGCTGCCTGCTCCCCACGAGGGAGGTGTTATGGGAGGAGATAGGCCAGAGCAGATGCTGGAAGAACAAAGCAGCTGGGCATGATGCTGGCATGCACCCAGGAATATGCTGGCTGGCAGCCCTGGAGCCAGGTCACAGCCCTGTGCCATCACCTCAGTCCCAAAGCCAAGCCCAGGAGCTTTCCTGGGGCAAAACAGCCCCGAGGTAAAAGGAATGTGGGGAAGGGGTGGTAGGAAACATGGGGTAGAGGGTGCCAGGGGAGGAGGGAGCATTCAGGTGAGGCCGCTCTGCTCTGGAGGGCAGTGGGAATATGGGGCGTGGAGAAGGTGGGAAGGCAGAAGGTGAGATAAGGGAGGATAAAGACAGTGAGCAGCCAGGCAGGGACAGGCAGGGAACAGGCAGAGGTGAGGGGACACCACACGCCCTGACAGGGAGAACCTGAACAGCAGCGCTCGCTTTAAAACCACCTCACACACAAAGGTCCCTTCCCAGCAAAGCCCCTGCGAGCCCAGGGGAGGTGCCACCCAGCTGGGGCACCCAGAGCCACTCACCTGGGGTAGCCAGCTGCCCTGCATGGTGTGGGGTGGCTCGGAGCTCTGCCGTGCCCGCTCCCCGCGGGACCACAGCTGCTGCGCTGAGGGACCCGATGCATATTTGATGACTGCTATTATTCTCATCTCCACTCGTGAGCAGAGAGATGGGAGCTGATCTTCCCTCACAGAGCTGGAGGGGTGGAGGGTGGTGCCACCTCCTCCTCCTCCTCCCGTGGTCCCTGTCCCTTGCACCCCTGGTGACACAGCTGGACTGTCCTGCATCCCTCCCAGGATGTAGTTGAGCTTCAGTGTAGCCCAGATGTGAACAGCTGGGAAGTGGCCCTGACCCATTCTGGCCCCCAAACCAATGGGAGTTTAGAAGAAATCACAGAACATGGGAGTGAGGAACAAATGCATCTCCTCACACCCCTCTCCAAAGGTGGGCTGGGACCAACCAGCTGCAGAGGTTCTGGCAAGGATCTAGGCACCCATTATCCCAAAAATACCAGAGCTCTCTCCTCCCTGGATAAGCAGGGCACTCCACCCGCCTTCACAACACTCCATTCTCCCCATTCCAGCACTGAGCTCCTGCATCCCACCAAACTGGGGAGCGTTTTCCTGCAGTGATGGAGCCTGTGGCTCTGCCAAACGCAGGGGCAGAGAGAGCATCCTGCTGCAGCACCCGAGCCGGGAAAACCTTGCTTCCTTCTCCTCCTTCTGCTCCAGGCAGGCACGTCCCAGCCGTAATGCGGTGGGTATTTATTATGCTGATTCCTCAGAACGCGAGGGCTTAACTGCAAATTACAATCAATAGCCCCAATCCCCTCGGGGCAGGTTCATCATTTAGCAGGCGCAACCAGAGGAATTCAAAACTATTTGCCAGCCATAAATCCTCCTCTCCGCAGGCTCCCCAGCCGGCTCCCGCCACTCCCGATGGCTGGTTGGGGTGACCCTTGTCAGCATTTGAGACAATTAAGCTGTCACTGCGGATCGTGACTCTTATATACGGCCCTGAGCAGCACTTTGAGATGTCACCGTGATGGGGTGAGGGGAGCTGGCTGAGGCGACCTGCCGCAGCAACCATCTCTCATTGAATTAAATGAATGTATTTGGAGGCAGAGTCACTCTTTATTACCTTGCAAACGATTCCTGACTAAATTAAATTATAAGAGGAGTGCTCAGCCAATCAAACCTGCTTGATTGCCTGGAACAGGCATTTTAAACAGAGCACGCCTCGAGTCGTCGCTGGTTGCAGCGCTAGATGGAGGGTGGCTGATGGGCTGTGGGGAGGCTGAGCCACCCTGCTCCACACCTGGAGTCCTGTGTGGCCCCAGGGATGGGGCAGGATGAGCACAGCCCCCTGGGAACAGCATCAATGAGCCTGGAGGCAGCTGGAAGAGCAAGGGAATGGCAGGAGCACAGAGCAGGGCTGCTGAGGGCAGCTTTCTCTGAGCATCATCTAGCCAAGGCTTTCCTCCTAAAGAGCAGAGAAATGCAGGGTGCTGCTCTTCTGGGGGCAAATCCACAGCTCCTGCCTGCACCCACCCTCCTGAGAACGC